CACTGAATTGGCTGCATCCAAGGGCGCACAGACAAACAACCCCTTCCAGATCTTCAACGGTTCAGAAAGCGAAGCCGAGCAGAAGATTACCCGCTCTTTGCTTCTTGGAGAGTTCGACAAGGCTCTCGAGGTTGCCCTTCAGGAGGACCGTATGTCTGATGCCTTCATGATCGCCATCTGTGGTGGTCCGAAGTGCATTGAGAAGGCCCAGGAGTACTACTTCTCTAAGCAGGCTGGTGGACCCAACTACATGCGTCTGCTTGCGTCCATCGTCGGCAAGAACCTGTGGGATGTTGTGCACAACGCCGATCTCTCTAACTGGAAGGAGGTTATGGCTGCCCTGTGCACCTTCGCTGACGAGAAGGAGTTCCCTGATCTGTGCGATGCCCTCGGTGATCGTCTTGAAGAGCTGGTCCAGCAAAGCGATGATAAAACCGCTCGCAAGGATGCCTCGTTCTGCTTCCTCGCTGGCTCCAAGCTGGAGAAGGTGGTAGCCATTTGGGTTCAAGAGCTCCGTGAGAACGAACAAAAGGGTATTGAGAATGATGCCGATAACTCGACCTTTTCCATCCACGTTCGTGCCCTGCAAGGCCTGATCGAGAAGGTCACTATCTTCCGCCAGGTCACTAAATTCCAGGATACCGAGCGGACTAAGGATGCCGACTGGAGCCTCAGCACTTTGTATGAGAAGTACATTGAGTACGCGGATGTTGTTGCCACTCACGGACGCCTCCAAATCGCTCAAAAGTATCTCGACCTTGTTCCTGAAAAGCATCCCGAGGCTGAGATTGCTCGCAACCGTATCAAGTTTGCTACGCGTCAAGCGCCCCAGAAAGCGCAGCCAGTCACTGCATCCCGAGCTACTCCCAAGCCTCTGCCGCAACAACCATCTGCCTATGCGCCGCAGCAGACCTTTTCCCCGATGGCTGCTCCTGGAGCTGGTACGCAGAATCCTTACGCACCATCTCCTGCTGTTTCTGCTCCTGCCCAACCCCAACAGGCTGCCAACCCGTACGCCGCAGTTGGTGGAGCTTACAACCCGGTTGGCTATCAGCCTACCCAGGGCATGAGACCACCGGCATATGCGCCGCCGTCACAGTTTGGCGCACAGGCTGCGCCTGCTGGTGCTCCTCCCCCGCGCGGTTCAAACCAGTCCCCGGCCAACACCATCACCACTTATACTACGGCTACTGGTCTGCCTGCGTGGAATGACCTGCCAGAGGGCTTTGCCAAGGCTCCTCCTCCTCGCCGTGCAACCCCCGCTGGAAATGCAGCAATCAGCTCGCCGTTCCCTAACCAGTCTCCTCCCCTTGCCCAGGGTCCTCCACCCCCGGACCTCCGCCTATGGGCTCGCAGAGAGCTCCATCTGTTCCCCCTCCCCCCCAAGGTTGGAGCTCCTCCTCGTGTGACATCTCCTCTGGCGTCGAATGCTCCTGTACAAGCTCCTCTGCAGCCGGTCAACCCATATGCCTCTCTCCCCCAATCTCCGCCTACTGGAACCATGGCCCCTCCGGCATCAATTCCCCGAGGACCATCGCCTTATAATGCTCCCCCAAGCATCCCGCCGCCGACTAACCGTTACACCCCGAACCCAACTGCTCAGGCTGCAAGCCCGCAGTTGCAGACTCGGGCCCCGGTTGCTCCGCCGCCACAAGCCGCTGCCTCGCCATATGCCCCCCCCAGGCCCAAGCGCCTTCAGGATACGCTCCCCAGGCGCCGCCAGCTTCAGCATACGCTCCTCAGGCCCCGCCACCCTCAGGCCCAAGCCCCTATGCGCCTAGCGGTCCCGTTGGTGTACCACCCCCACCCATGGCAGGCCAAGGGATTCCTCCTCCTCCCATGGCATCCCATGCTCCCCCCTCCACCCCAGGGGTCTCGTCCCGGCACAGCGCAGTCTCAACGAGCTATCCCCCCTTCGACACCCAAGTACCGTAAGTACAACACCGTGGTCACCTATCAACGCCAGGAGCCTCTAAATTAACATTCCTTAGCCCCCGGTGACCGTTCCCATATCCCTCCCAACGCCATGCCTGTCTTCGAGATTCTGTCCGCGGACATGCAACGCGTCAAGCTTCGGGCGCCCTCATCATTCAAGGCCCAAGTTGACGATGCTGAGCGTCGCCTGAGCATTTTGTTCGACCACTTGAACAACGAGGATTTGCTCAAGCCCAACACCATTGAGGATATGGCGAACCTGGCTCGCGCTATCCAGGCCCGTGACTACGAGACTGCTCGCGCCGTCCACGTTGATATCATGACTAACCGGACCGACGAGTGCGGCAACTGGATGGTACGTTACTCTTTTCTTGCGTGGTTCTCGATAAAAAAAACAACAAACTAATCGTATACTTTAGGTCGGAGTCAAGCGTCTCATTAGCATGAGCAAGGCCACCCCTTGAAGCTGTTTATTAGCATTATAGACGTGTGATAGCGATGGCGTGTGATGACTACCTATATTCTCGGCCGAAAGAAGAGAATTCCAAGACCCTGGTACAAACGCGCTTGGTTATTTTTTGGGACAGTGCGCTTTTCTTGTCCATTTTACTATTAATGCCTGCGTGTTTCCTTTCCTGCGTTGCTCCCCCTGGGGATCTAGTTTGCTTTGATTATCTGTTACGAGAAAAAGAAAAATTTCCCTGGTTTTAACAACGAAGTTCAAGATGTGGTTTAGATTGTCAAATAGACGTGGCACTGAATGAATAGTAGATTAATTTTTTACCGTACCTGCTACTAGTAGTAGTAGTAGTAGTAGTAGTAGTAGTAGTAGTAGTAGTAGTAGTAGTAGTAGTAGTAGTAGTAGTAGTAGTGGATTCGAATTGCCCTCAGGCTCAGGCTCAGGTTCAGGCTCTTACAGCGTTGTTTTGAGTCCTAAGAAGAGATAGCATGTGTTGGGAGTAGTATTTATTCTTATTTCCTGCTCTCTTTATATTTACATGTGTCACAAATACCTACCTAGGTAGGTCGTACTAATATACTCAACACCGCTGTATCTAAGATCCAATCTCACTACCTCATCCATCACCTTCCAGTCGAAGCCATACCCCCAAGTCTACCGCCCCGACTAGTAGGGAAGTTTCTCGCACTCAGCAGCGCACCCTTCACACCACGGATCTCCGCCTTGAAACCAGCAATCGCTTCGTCCTCGGACTTCTTCACGCCCATCGCAGCACTATCTGTTCCGTTCGTAGTGCTACTGTAAAGACCATAGGAAGGCGTAGAAGAAGAGTAACTCGGAGCCGCATAGGTCAACCCATCCAGATAATGGTGCAGATCCGTAAGCTTATTACGTAGCTCGTCTTCCAGGGCACTGGAGTCCTTATCAACGCCATTGACTTCCTTCAGCTGCGATTGGATAGACTCCAGACGACTCATGTGGTTATTGACCGCCTGAGTCGGCGCATCTGGCGCCTTGCTTTCCTTCTCAATGGCTGCGATAGAGGACTCAGTGGTCTCGGGGCTGGTCTGTGTCCCCATGTCGCGGTGGAAAAGCTCCGTCGGATCTGAGGTGACGGAATCAGTATCGTCGCTTTCGTCTTCGAATGGAGTGGTCTTTCGCGCGGTTAGATGGGCCGGGATGACGGTGACGCTTTTCTCTAGCTTTTCGTTCAGCTTTGTGAGGTTCTCTTGTGCGGTGCTGGCTAGCTCGTGGCGGGCGCTTGTTAGGGTCGCGAGCATCGGCTTCACGAGGTATTCGCTTGCACCGTATATGCTTGCGCCGAGGCCAGCGGCGCCGTAGATGGTGTAGAGGACGCGGTTCATCGTGACGAGTGGGGGAGGCTTGTTGGCTTCAAAGAGGAATTCGGGATATGTGATGATTGGGGGTACATCGCGCGGTGCGGAGGCGGGGGTTGTGGATGGGGCTGTCGAGCGTGGTTGAGACGTGGTGTTTGGTGAAGACTGTGCAGTGGCGGGAGAGGATGGGGTGACTTCGGATTGACCGCTAGATGGTGTTGATGGTGTTTCCTGGGTCTTGCTCTCTGCGGCGGTTGGGGTGGTGCTGGTCGCCTCCGCGTTTCGGGTAATGCCGAGGAGTTGGTCGATCTCGTCCGAGTTCAGACCTTTCGATTCAAGGAAAGTCACTTTGCGATCGGTTGGGGAGTCACGAATAGATTCATCCTCGAGGAATTTGGCCGCTTGAGTTAGGAGGTCCTCTCGGTTGGTGGGTGCGGGCGCATCGTCGGAGCTCGGCGATGGCGACGGTGACGAGGAGGATGAGGAGGATTGATCGGCTGGCGCAGCTCCTGACTGCCGCTGCCATGAAGGAATAGAGGGTGACTTTGAGGAGGAATCTGACATTGTGATGCAGTGGTCCCAGGCTAGAAGGGATGGGGAAGAAGAAGAGAAGGGAGAAGAGAGTAGAGAGTAGAGGAGCGGCAACTTCCCCGGACTTGGGACTGGAACCATGTGAGCCGACCTCGGCTGTTGCACCGACTCGGATCTCTCCGACTGCAATCCACGTAGGGCAGCCTCCAGTTCTAGTTCTAGGTTTGGTGTAGAGATGGTTTGGATTATTCAGAAAGGCTATTAAATTCTATTGCTTGTAATTTTTTTTTTTCAATACATTCTAATATAATTGATTGGGTATACCTAGGCATGACCTTGGAATGAGCAGCTTTATAGTGAGATCTCTAGTTATAGACTACTACTTTACTACTGGTCCGATTTCAGCACGGCAAGACACGATTCCCGTAATTCGCCAGCACTGCGGGTTATAGAGTAAAGGGGGTCGACTTGTGGGAAAGACTTAGAATTGACTGGCCTATTTAGATACATACTTAAAAGGCAAATATTAACAGTGGCAAGTTACAGCTCTTCATGTACCTGGGTAACTACTTAATACTTTGATATCGGCTGACCGCCTGGCGGGCAGAATGGCGGTGGTTACTCCATTCGCTCATCCAGCGTCAGCGACAGCCCTCGTAGAGATTGGAAACTTTTGGATAAAGTACCTGTAAGTTGCCTTATTGGCCCCAATGATTCTGCGCCCCCCGTCACCCTTCATGACTATGCAACTGGACCCCGACCGGTGGCCCAAGGGCCACTACTCCCCGAACCTCTGGGGGACACTGCAGCCAGGAGAGCAACTGCCAACTTCCCTGCAACGGCGCTTTGTCCGCACGGCGAGCCTCCTAAACGTGGCGCCCCGAGACAAGTTGGTCCTGTGCCTTCCCGGTGTGCGCTGGGTCTCATTCCCCCGGTGATTGGGCCACTGGCTTCCTTTCTCACTTCATCTCCCCGATTCCTTGCGATGCCGTTGCTATCTCGTAACTACCACTGCCTACGATTCTACGAGTTATCCCCCGCATCTGTCATCCCCTCCATCCTTGTATTGCCTTTCTGCCTTCATCTTCACTCTTCAACTTCAGCACCACAGCCTCCCACGTCATGACGCCAGTTCTCCGCCGCTCTCGTCGATCGCGGGGAGCTCAGGAACAATCCCCAGAATCGGATGCTAACATCAATGCCAGGCCTCAGAGACAAACCCGCTCCGCTGCTGCTGCGGCATCTGTGACTGTCTCTCGATCTTCTCGATCTTCATCGGATCCATCAGGCGAACCGGCCCGGACTCTCCGTGTAACTGTGAAAATGCCCGCTGGTAAATTGCGGGAAGCTACTGGTGGCCGCTCCGGCCGCCGATCAGTCAATGTGTTCCAGGAGAACCCAATTGTTTCAGGACCGCGTTCCAGTCGGAACAAAAAGAAGGTCGTGGAAGTTGCCTCGTCCGACGAGGAGGACATCGAAGACGAAGAGGAGGATGAGGTCGAAGATGAAGAAGATGCTCCTGGCGAAGATGATGACGAAGATGCCGATGGTGATATAGATATGGACGACGCTCTACCACAACCGCCCACAAGGCGAAATGCTAAGGTTACAGCCCCCGCCCGTGGCAAAGCCAAGAGCGTGGAAGCCAAAGAAATGGAGCTTGAAGAGGAAGAAGATGAGGAAGAGGAAGAGGAGGAGGAAGATGAAGACGATGTCACCGACTCCGATGCGGAGGGCGAGCCCGAGGACCAAGACGAAAGCGCTGTCCCTGAGCTCAATGTTGAAGACCTCGACGAGGAAGACGAGGAGGATGACTTGGATGAAGAAATGGACAGCGAAGGCCTTGCTCTCAACAGCGGCAAGACGACCAAGCGTCAGCGAGGAAACCTAGGCGATGACTTCTTGCAGCTCCCAATGGGTAAGCAATATCGGCCTCTATCCCAAAACTGGCATTGTGCTCACAATCGAACAGAACCCCAAGTCAAGAAACATTTGACGGCCGAGGAGCGTGCTATGAGACGAGCAGAAATGGCCCGCCGAAGGAAGAATCTCAGCGAAAAGCGAAATGAGGAAGAAAAGGTATTTACTCAGATCGGAAATCAACAAGCATACATAGCTAACATCTAATAGATGGATACAATCAATCGACTTCTCAGGAAGCAACCCCCCAAGCGCCGTGGCCGCGGTGCAGTTGCTGATACTGATGGGACCCCCGCGGATCAAGAAGGCCAGGAGCCCGAAAAGGCCGATCCTACGATGGTTCGCTGGGTTAGCAATGCCAATGGCTGCAAGCTCGGTGTGCCCGAGGAGTGGCTCGGTACTCCAGTCGGTCGTGTTTTTGGAGCTCCCGCAGCGGTCACTGGGACGAGCAAGCTGGTGCAAGAACTCTGAAATCGCATTTTAGAAAATTTGACATGGATTGGGGCGCATTTAGGAACCACTCTGGAGCACTTGGGAAAAGGCAGGAAATTCTCGATACACCGGCACGACGACTGTCATGCTCAGTCTCCGTATCGAAGGCATGGCGTTTACATTTTCAATATATTTAACACTGGAGAATAATTTGACGAATACTCATGGTTTGATCATATCCTGCATACTACCTAGGTAGTAGTATCGGAAGATTCCCCCTGACCACATTACTTCTGAAGGTTCAGCAGGGAACTAGAACCTTGACATATAGAGTACCCAGGTATCAAACTGCTCCAAGTGTATTTCCAAGTGTAAATTATAGTACTGGTAGTATTTTGAGAACCAAATCACCCATCGGGATTAGTTGTAAAGCTGAGAAACTTGACCCAACCCAATAGTCTTCCAATTTACTCCGTCGTGGACTCTCCAAGGCCATTGGGACCGACCAGCGTGCCCAAGGGTCGCTGAATTTGACCAGACCGAGCACTCGCGCCAGGATTGCTTTCGTAAATTAGCCATTAGAGGCTATTCCTCGTGTACCGGTCGAGTATATGTTGCGCAAGAAATCATTGATTCTTTTCAGCTTTGGTTGTGCCAGACGCCGGCTTTGTGCTCTGGGAATTGTCAACCGCCGCAGGTGCAGTGGCACCTGAGTTCAATCCTGCAGCAGACTGAGGAGCAGCAGGCCCGTTGCCATGTGTCTTTTCAGCAGCGAGTTCTTGGAATGCGGGTTGGAAGGTGTAGTAGCCTGTGGGACAAGTTTGACGTCAGACCTGATTTCTCGCACAATGACAAGGGTGAGGTATATACCTGTATAGACACCCACTCCAATAGCGAGAGCGACTGGTATGAAATTGCGACTCATGGTGAAGTGAGAGGTGGGAGTGCAGCTGGTGGGAAAGGGAAGTTTGGGGAGGTTTGAGGTTAAACTCGGAGATGCGGGAGTGCCGATTGCCCGGAGACTCCCCCGTTATCGCCGCACTGATTAGCGGCACACGGCGCGTCTTTAACTTATTCGACGCGTTTTCCTCGAGAAGACTATTTGCTGGTTGAGAGTTTCACCTGATGATTTGAGCTCTCCTAATACTGAATTACGCCACTCGATGACTTAATGAAATGGGCGAAGCCCACCGAACATGTCAGTTGAATGGCGGGAACGAGGGTTTGTCCCGGACTCCGATGAAGAGGAAGAGTTCGATTCTCTCAACACGAATAAAGAGAATATTGGCGATCAGAATGATGCTATAGCAGATGATATCGACTTGAATTATATCTCTATTCCGCCGTCAATACCGAAATCCGAAACTGAAGACAGCTCCAAGCAACAGCATCGCGAACATAGTCAGGATGGATCGACAGCGCCCTTGGATGACGACCAGGAACGGGTTGACGCTGAACGATATGAGAAGGGCTCGCAGGAACTGGTTTCGAGTTCTACAACTCCAAACTCTCCAACTGTGACTCCCCTCCCGCAAGCGGGCACAGTTTCCAATGAAAGCTCAAGAACAGCAACACCTATTGCAACACCTGCGAAACGAGCACCAGGACCTCGCCGATCCGCCAGGGCAAGTCGCGGAACTCCTTCGGTCGAAGAAGCCAACCAGAGCAAAGATATATGGGATATTCCCAGCTCGCCTGCCCAGAGGACTAGGTCCTCTAAGAAAACACGAAGTCAAACGCCGACACCGAAAGATACGCCCTCTGCGAAACCCCGCCGGACTCGGGATAATGCACAGGCTGATACACCATCAGCGTCGATACGCCATATAGATACGCCATCACGAGACTCTTCGCCGGATGAGTTGATGGTCCTTGTGCCTTCACCACGGAAGCCGCTTGCCAACACACCCAGCAATAGACCACACGAACCGAATGAACCAGCCAGGTCGGATGATGAGTCTTCTTTATCCTCGGCAAAATCAAATATCTCTGTTCCGTCCCCAGGCCATTCGCAGATTGAGAAGGATACTACAACTGAAGCAAATGAGGAGGACAATTTGGCTCAAATTCTACCAGGCCTCGAAATCCCCGAGGAGTTTCAGCAGCCATCTTCTCAGCCAGAGCTTCCACAGGAGAAAACTGTTCAGCGAGGCGTGCAAGATGATATCCAGATCCATATACCAGATCTTCAGCAGGAATATGGCCAGCGACCCACTCGATCTCTTCGAACTCATAAACCCGCACAGGTGAACCCTTATACGTGGGAACTTGCGCAATATCAGAGACAAATGAAATCTGCAGGATTGCGGTCCGTTAGATTGCACGCCGAGCCGTCTCAGCCTCAGCCCGCTGAAATCACGGACGAGAGCCAAGGGCTAGATGCCTTCAATCCAAATGCTATACGGTCAAGTCCTCCTGCAGAAGAGTATCTTCCTGCGCCGAAGCCGAAACGAAGAAACGAAGCGGAAACGAATACACCACGCACTCAAAACCATGAGAATCATTCTCTAACCATTAGACGGCGACAGTCCACCAAGCGAAGAAAGAGGTCTCGCTCTGGAGCCTGGCATGATGGTACACATCTTGTCAGCAACGACCCACAGCCTCATGTATTCATCAGTTCCACTCCCCCGGGAGGTCTGGATTCATCAATCTTTGATATACCGACCAGTCCGCCGCAGCCCGGTGGCTTATCTTCAGCGTCACGAACACCACGCGCTTCAGAAATCTTTCGATTTCCCCCCCGGCTTCACACCCCCTCCTACCACAACCCCGAACTTTGATTCTTTGGACGTGACCCCACACAATGATGAACCCGCAATCGTTGATCAAGAAGAGTCGGCTGCTTCTTCAGATGAGGTAGAAAACTCCGATTCTTCTGGCCCAGAGCTAGAGACTGCGGAGGAACGTGAGATCCGAAGACTGTCACGACAGACCCGGGGTGTTCTTCCGGCATCGTGGCATAGAATCGATGCACAGAAGCGGTCCCAAAACCAGAAAGCCTTACAGGCAAGCCGCCATGCTGCTCAGCGAGAAAACACAAAGGGTGTTGCTAAGAAAGTGTTACGAAGAAGTGGGCAACCTGTACGCCCAAGCCAAATGAATTTCGGAGATGACGAAAGTGATGAAGAACCCCAGAGCACGCGAACCCCGCAATTAAACGAAGTGAATGCGGGTGAAGCACTCAACAGAATTGTTGGGTTCGAAAATCCCTTCGGTGAAGCTGAAGAGGACGACAACTTTGAGGATAACCGTGTTGATTACATGCTTCCGCCCACAAGTCGCGCCAAGCGCAGCAGTCTCAAACGCGCTCATCCTAAAGAAAGCTCGAGTGCGAAAGAGAGAAGATTGAAGAAATCTCGACTTCAGAAGCAAACAAGAATCACTGATTCTTCCTATGGGAGCCGACGAACCAAACGACCGTCCACAAAATCAAAATCAGCACCCCGGCTGGGAATTTTGGATGCTCCTGATGTTGCCAATCAGCCTCATAAAGAACAACCACAGTTTTTGAGAGTTGCAGCGAGGCGAGCTCGCTCGCGTCAAGACGGAGGCAGACACAGTCCGACTCGAAAATTCCTGCAACTGGGCTCGAAACGTGACACGGCCGATGCAAATGAGTCCCTCGGGGCATGGAGACGAGGAGCAATTCCGCAGACCAAGATCCAGCGGCCTCGACCGAAGCCTCGCAAAACACCGACAGCCGCGAGGCTTTCAAGTAACCGCCATCGGGATCCAGCATCTTCTCGCAGTCCCCGACTGACTAGCCATTTCCCTGTTATGGAGACTGGAGACCCTCTCCGGCATCGACAATGATTCTACGCATGGGCAACTGGCAGGTGGAGCCAACTCTCTTCCGGTGGAAGCATCCAACAGCGATACGGCACAAGCGCGATCTATGCATGCAGAAAAACGAGGGCACCAGTGGATGATCCAACGGAATAATGCAATCTCATCTTTGCGACGAAACAGCGCCCGCCCTGCCGTCGGAAGTCTGACAGAGCGCAGTGCAGGCCAGCCAGCATCTCGAGCAATGTTCCGACAAACACTGACTGTGCTCAACCGAGATTATCGGCATAGAAATTCATCTTCATCTCGGACCTTTAAGCCAAGCTTAACCCTCGACCGCTACATTTCAGATGTTGGACCAGCACAGCTGCCACCCACAGTCGTTCCCCACCACACCCCTCTCACAGAACCGGTTGAAGTTCAGCAAAGTCGCCGTCGCTTGAAAAAGCGCCCGCCCAACCGTGTCAATCTTACCTTGGATGAGTTCTTGCAGGATGCAGAACAAACGACACCAATTTCTGGTGAGCTGGATGTTTTCGCCTCAACCGGTTCCGAACCATTGCGTACCTCCACTTTCAACGTGGGAGGTGGCATGTTCAATTGGCAGCGTTCATATCCACTAGACTTTGGGGCATTGCCGCTGCGTAGTGGCACCTTTTTCCACGAGTCCACATTTATAGGGTGTGGGGAATTTGCACGATCAGTACAGATTCTCAAGCGGGACTTGGATCGAGATGCAGGGGTTTGTTCCATACCGTTCAAAGACCAGACCTTCCGATGGGGAGCATGGAGTGATAAAGTATCCTCTGAAATGGGCGTCGCATTCGATTCTATTGTGGGGGATGTCGAATCACTCGGTTACTCAGTTTCTGAAGCAACCCCATCATCACAGCTGGCGTTGTCATCTCTCACATTGCGAGCATTAATTTCCTATGTCTCCGATCATTTGACGTTCGCCGATCCTATCGACCGCACTGGCTTCCTTAGTCGATCCCTGTCGTTAGCTGTCAAGCTAAGAGACCCAATTGCTTCGACTCTTGCAGCAAGCAATGTCGATGATAAGAATATCGCCAGCATCGCTTGCTATAACATGGTATTCGCAAACCAGATTCGGCAGGTCGCAACCCATGAACTCGTCAGCCCTTCTCTCAACAAGGAAGCACTGGATCTGGTCAGGCTTTGTGTTAAGGACACAATCAGATCAATTCTAAGTCAAGCCGGGAGAGCCGAAATCAAGCGTCTACTGGAGGAAAATGAAGACGACCACGGACGTGAAATGGGGATTCGAGAGGAATTCCCATCTGCAGAAGCATGTGTCATCGTCGATCAACTTTTGCGCTCTTCGGATGTATTCGGTGGGGTGCTCGAGGACCACGAGGTCGAGGCCTATACCGAGGGCATCATTCGCAATAGAAATGATATCGGGAATCTGGAGATCGCGTGGCGTAGCTTGTTTATGAACTTGCCCCTCCACGATATTGACAAACATGGCATCGCCCGTCGAGAACTTCGGTTCAAAGTGAAACATGACAACTGGATTCTCGTCAAAAAGCTCCTCTCCCCGGTATTCGAAAGCTACGACATTCATTCTGCGACCCAGACGATATCGTACAACGCTTACTGCCGGACACTTTTTCAAAGATGTCACCGTCTGATCAACTCCTGGGGCTGGAGAGACTGCAAACCCATCCTTGACACTCTCTATGACTTCTTCGCCCAGAAAACTCTCTATAATCTGAAATTCGAAGAAAGCCGTGGATCACCTTCTTTCCTCGATGAACTTGACCAAAATCCTTCTCTAGAAATCCGAGTTGGAGAACCGACATTTCACACTCTACTGAAGATCATCGCAAGTGGGCTGCGCTTTTTGTCTAAGCGCTACGACAATAAGAAAATTCGAAACTTCGCCTGGCGCCTCCTACCTAATCACGGACGCATGTACCCGAAAGAAGACTCTCTCCGCCACGAGGATCTCGATGCATTGAGGAACCACCATGACCTTCTCTGTACCTTATACTGGGTTGTCCCTGATGGTTACCGACCCCGATTGGAAACTATCAGAGACCTCGTCAATCCGGCAACTTCCCACCGCGAAACATGCGGTATCAACCTACGATCCTGGACGAGACTTGTTCGATTCAAGTTGTCTACCGACGAGGAAGTTTCGGGCCTAGACCCATTTGCCGATTGGCACAGCCATTTCGTCAACGAGCTTCGGAAGCAGCATATCCTTGCCAGGAACGAGATTGAAGCTCAGCGCAAAGAAGGGGAGTGGATCACCGAACAGCTCATCGAAACTACCATTTCTGAAAACCAACGACAAATTGAAAGTTTGCTGAGCATGGCACTCAGTGGCTTGCTTACTGCTGTTGAGCGGGCGCCAACGTTGGACCATGCACACCGACTGATCTTGAAAACCCCCTTCGAGGCCTTGCTGTCATTATTTAATCCGAAGATCTCGCGAGTCAACGTTGTTGTATCCGAGGCTCTTGCAGTGATTACGGCGTACACTCGGAAAGATGGTAATGGTTCATCGCTTGCAAATGATTTTTCGGTGCCAACGGCGCTTCCAGCTCCAGAAGACGATAGCCAAGAATATGGAGATTGGGATGACATCGATGCTGTTATGGTCGATCAAACAATTCTCAGCGAAGGGATTGAATATGTTCAGTCTGATCTTCATCCCATCGTCTTTCGCCTGGTCTCCAACTGCTTTGGAGAAGACCGTTGCCCAGATGATGGGATCCTTTTAAGTACTGTGGAATGCTGGACGTCAGTTGCTCAGGTATTGGTACGTCATGGCCTCAAGCGCTGGGAGGATTATCTCGATCCTCACGGTGATATGTCCTGGGAAAGACTTCGCGAGACGGTTCAAACCCGCAAATTCTCTTCCCAATTTCTCGCTGCTTGCATTGAAAAGAATTCTCGAATACTCTCTGACTGCCGGATGCTTGTTATGGGGATGTGGATCACATCATTGATGGAGCGATCTTCCCTACTGAAATTCCAGCATCGCTTGACAGAAGCTCTGCTTAATGGTCTTCCGGATGATCCGCTACTTCAAAACCTTCCTTTTTACAAGGAAAAGAAGGCTGATCGATATCAGCTAACGATTGAAGAGCTCTCTCAACGTCGCATCTCGCTTATATCTAGCGTCCTGTCGAATATGCGCGAACATGTTCTGGGGATGGAATCCTCAGCTGATCGGAATCTCTCTGTCACAAAAAGAGAATACTCGGAAATTCTTGAGAAAATGATGAGTGCGATGAAGAAGAACTATCGTGAGCTCGGCAATGGGGCCGTGGAAGCCGCCCGGGGTGCCTATGTCGACTTTGTCCACCGGATCATCCGATTCCTTCAAGAACTTACAAACGACATCAAAGCCGTGGATCCCTTCTTCACGAACCCTGCGCTGTTCCCCCTGCCGTCCTCGGATCCTCAATACGTTGTTGCAAGGTTAAAGCGCTACGAACCCAAGCTCTCTTCCCAACAGGGCCTTCAGGCACTGATCATGTTTACTCAAGGCATTGTTGAACGTGCCGTTCTGGAGGGCCAACAGGATCATCTCACCGAGCAACTGCACGCAGCTATGGCGAACACATACGAGGCTGGCGACTCCGACAAACCCACACTCCGAGCTATCCTTCTACAATGCATTTTCCCTGACTACATTGAACTCGCGTTCAGTGCTCGTCCCGCCTGGCTCTTAAGTCGATCCATAATCCGGAGCATGACACTTGTTTTCAAGGAGTTGCTGTTTGTTATGGACGCCACGGACTCGAGATGCGTTTCCTCCGTGCTTGGAATCTTCGATGCGGTCTTTTGCTCTGCGTATCGCGCTTTGCAGCCGCTTTCACATCGCCCGACTGTTTTACAGAATACATGTACTCTCGTGATGCTCACTGCTTTCGTTGAAATGGTATCGTCGACTCTTGTCGTGGTGGACTACATCGACCGCTTGACTGGTATTTCTGAAGAAACTGTGTCATATATCCAGTGGTTCCGGGACTTTGCCGCCAGTGTGCTCGGCCATGTGAACGATGCCAGCGGCGCGGGTGCGATGTCGGAAATGGCGATTCGGACAGACTTGGGCCTGCAGCCCTTGGGAACATCCCCAAGCTTACCGTCGCATCTCGTTGCGACCCGCACAATTGCTTTCGAGGAGCATCAGTCTTGTCTTAAAAACTGGTCCGAGCATGGTGGTAGGTACTACCACACTCGAAGCGGACATGACTCAAAGGAAGCTGTCCTTGAACCTCAAATTCAGTTCCTCGTTGAAAGTGACACGGAAGCCAGGAAATCACTGGGTGCTGCTGTGGGCGAGTTCCTGAACCGAATCGATCAGCTTGATTTTTTCCCAGATGAGCGGGAAGAGTGAGTGCAGCGATCGCATCGACCTTGAAACTATATAACTCTTTTTTCTTTTCTGCTTTGTGTTTCTCTTATGCTGTTGATGATGGAGTGCATGCATGCTTAGCATTGGCGTATGGTGACGGTTTAGATTATGATATTGAAGAACAAGGTCGCGGACTCGGAGTCAAAACGATACCAGGGGGAGTTTTACGTCGGATTTGATCATGTATGTTTATGTCTGCAAAACGAAATGAGAAATACAAAATGTCATGAAAATCATCAAGACCTGCTTGCTTGTTTTTTTTTTCGTGTCTGGGGAGTGGATATCCCGAGGGGGTACTATTTGCAAGACTATGCACGCATCAAGTCATTGCCAGGAGAACGATCAAAACAATCAAAGGAGAGCTTCGTAACTAGATCCTTGTATCCTTTCATGCCTCGTATATCATCATTGGACAACAAGGGGTACTGAAAAGGGAAAAAGAAAATCCAAAGCAAACAGCAGCACACCATGGTAATCAAAAAAGAGAAGAGGAAAGGAGAGGAAGAGAAAAAGAATGAAACGCCAGATGCATTACGCACAAGGCGTAATATGACTGAAGACTCGATGATAATGCCCAATGTGAGATCCCCGTCCCATAAACGCCTTTCGTATCTCCGCGATTGCTAGATAGCTTCAGATGCCTGGAACGCTAGCGTCGTGGCTCGATCCACGGCGGTGGAAGGGGTTATGAAATACTTTACGCATAGCGTTCGTAATGCTATTTTTCCGCCTCGATGTCGTTCCCTCGCTCGTCCCATCCCCAGTCTTTGGGACGGAGGCATCATCCGCAAGGACAATTGAGGTGACGGCCGGTTTAGGAGGCCATTGGCCATCTGCTTTCCAGCCTTGTACCATTGCCTTTGTGAGATCGGCCAGGTTAACAGGCACGGTGGGCGTCATGCCTTGCACAACGACCTTGGTATATATGGAGGGATATATGCTCGGGTTGATGGTTGCGCGGATAGGATTTGAGGGTGAAAGCAATGGCGGCGCAACAGGGATGAGAAGCTCCTCAAGTTCCTCCTCGTCATCCTCACCCTCGCTATCGGAATCGTCAATGGCCGCGGAGCTTGTTGAGTCCTTACTAGGTGCCTGCTGATCTGGCTCGGTGATACTAGTCTCTGTTGAGCCCTTGCGCTTGGCCTCCTCGTCCGGAGCGGTCGAGTGTTCTTCCTCTTGATCCTGCCGACGATGCTGCTCCTCGATCTTCTCTCTCTCCGCAAGAGAAAGGGTCGCTTCAGCTCTATTCGCCAGAACCGACGCATCGCCCGTATCGCCCGCCTCGTTGTCGGCGACCTGGGGGGGCCGGGGGCGGGGAAGTCCCCGCACCGCTCTCCTCCGCCGAAGGGGTCGTATTCGCGGTAGTTTGGTCCCTTGATGGTATATGCGTATCGGCTAGATTGCGCTTCTGCTCCTTGGCGCGAATTTGCCGCCGTGTCCGCGCTCCTGACCATGCATTTCGTTGTGCGATCCACCTCCGCAACCCCTCGTTCCACGCCATCTCCTCCTCCATCTGTCGACGGCGTCGACGCCGTTGCTCGACGACTGGGTCCCCTCCTAGCTTCGCGGCACCTGGAGAGAACTCGTCATCATCAGATTGATCGGAAGATTGTGGCTCGAGCTCGGAGCCGGAGCTATCGAATTCGCGGGGGCGCCAGTCGGTGACTTGCCGACCCTGCGACAGGGTGCCGATGGAGGAAGAGGTTGAGGAAGAGGATGATGGACGGACACCATTTGGATTTGAGATGGGGTCGAATTCCCAGTCGTTACGCACAACTTCGCGGATGAAGCGTTTTGCCTCGCGAACGGCCGCGTCGCGACTGTCGGTGGACATGGTTTTAAATGTGGGGTGGTCCTTGATTTGAGGGTTTGTGTTCAAGGTGGGCCTTGAGGTAGGCAGGATGAGAGAGATAGGTTGCGAGGAGGGGAGGCGCGTGATGGAACTGAACTCCGGAGCTCAAGTGCGCCCGGACCCTGCAATGGTGAGCACTCCCCGAATTCTGGAAGTGAAAGTGAAGCGAAGCTATCGAGTGGCGGGCGGAGAGAAGGATCCGATGACATCGAGGGCACGTGCCCGCGCAAATAGGGTGAGCAGAGGCGACACGGATTAGCGAGGAACTTATAGACATACATTGGGACATTCCAAGTTGCTGAACTTATGTGAGCTCCAGGGTTATTGAGAGAGACTTGTTAGTGAGGGTAATGTTTGTGAAGTACCTCTTATGTTGGGTTGTGACTGATTCATGTTACACAGCAGTATACTCCGTCTGAGCTGTCCTGGTAGCTGTATATCAGCCCTATCTAGGCTACTCTGAGTCTAAATAGGCCCCTTTTAACCCCTATATGTTTCCCTATTTCAATATACAGGGTCAAAAGAAGAAACCCAGTCTTCAACCTTTTCTTCCTTGAACTTCAAATGCCAAGGAAGTCCACATCTATATAAGCTTCGTCAGGTGCCCTGTGCTTATACTATACTTCATAGTTGTGCCCAGGTGGGTCGTGCGACATGCAGCAAGTCTTGCAAAAACTTGCTACTTTAGGCTGCCCAGGTGATGAGAGAAATTGCTAGACTTTGAAGCTTGGAAGAGGCATATACTAATCTACTCCCTACTAGTATCTTCAAGTCTCGTCAAACCGGTTTGCCACAGCTAACTCATCGAAATCCTTAGCAAAGTCTCACATTAGTACTTTAATTTAGTGAGATTGATGAATGTGATTCAGATCATACCTAGGTAATCATAAAAATCCATACTTCTCAAGCTGGAATAGCTCGAGTCTTCTCATCTAGACAAGGTTGTTAAATACCTATAATCACTGCAACAAACATATTCAAGGTGGTCTCGGGCATATACTTTGGCGATATATGGGCATCACTTAGATCAAATGTCCCAGAATGGGCTCTAGCTGCGCAACGATCTGCGGCAAATCATATTCCTGGGGTTCTCTGCTGCGAAAGACCGTGAGTGCATTCCAATCCTTCCCTGTGGGCACAGCATTTCCCCCTTTTCGATGCAGCCTCGGCGAAGTCCATGCATGGGTTCATACCCATGGACACAGGAGGCTTATTGAACGTTAGACATGGAACTGATATTTCTTTTGTACCGGGGTACCTTTTGAGTTGACAACCGGAAATTGCCAAAATAACCAAATACCATTAGGTTGTTGCAGCTGTCACTACTGTATAATCATGCTCCGTACATCTCATCAGAACCCGTGGATATCGATTCAGGTTTCAAATCTTCCTTGGTACATTGCCGAGTACAGTTACGGGCAGCTTATAAGTTTCCTATGTCAGGTTGCTTACTTCCAAGGTTCTATACTGGTGGTCGTCAAGGTTACTTAAGTAGGGTTCTTACCGGGACTGAAAGACACAACCTTGCACTTTCCCTCTCACATCCATTCCCATCATCAACAATCAGTTTCTCACTTCAGGGCTGCCCTCAGACTTGGGATCCTTCACCTCACTCGAATACGGCTGCTACTGTCTTAACGAACTTGGGTATTCCAATGTCTTCTCTCCCCCAACCTGACGCCGGTTTCGCCCTGGCCCTCCTCCACGAAGTCAAAAACGAGCCATGGACACTGATCCTCCAACTTTGGATTATTTTGTTCGTCGGACTTTCTCCAATTCTCATCTTGTTTATCTTGTTTATCTTGCTGCGCTGGATCGCCGCGAACACCGAAAAGTCAGTGATTCCTTACATATATACACTTTTTGATTATGCCTCTGATCAAAAACAGTGACTCTGGCCAGCCACAAGATGACTCAACCATCATGTCCGATTCATACTTCAAATTCAAATCTTACTTCAATCACAAGCGAATCCTTGGCTGCGTTTCTGGGAATCTCGACACCACTATTCTCGGCCTTACCTTTCTCTCATGCAGCACCTATGCCTTCGCTTCTTTGTTCGACCGTTTCATCAATTCGGGCCTGGTTGCGGGTTTTTGGGAGGGTTTCAATGAGACCTGCTCTGCCTACATAATCGGTTATCATCTTGGTCAAATTCTGCTTGTCATTGGATGGATTGTCACGGTTGTGGCTATCTGCTTGATCTTGGGTCTCACTTTTTACCATTTGGTTTGTCCTTGTTTGCCAGAGTGTGAAGAAGGGGGGGAACCGTCTGGAGCATTGACCGGTAACGCACGACGACCTGTTAGATAAGATCATCCTTCAGTTCTCTGCAAGTGTTGCTGAAAACATTGCTAGATTACGAGGTATCTGGGCTTTGGAGCATCTTTACCACAAGGCACCATGTTCCTATCTTATTTGCTGTGTAGTACAGTGATGACGAGTTCTAATTTCAAAAATATAGTATTATGACTACTAGTGAGCGAGGGTCTCGGTACCTCGACAGTACTACTCACCTGAGCAGTATCTGCTCTGCCCAGCTTGAAGCACCTGGCAGTTAGTTCTAGTACTTCAAGTTTTGTTGGCCGTTTAGCGTATACCTAGGTATGTAAGTTGGATGCCTACTAGTAAATCCCGGGCCCCAATTCGAATGTACTTCAATACAAAGACTCGGACTTGAACCAAGGGCTTATTACGAACGACTCCGTGCCAGCCTGCCCAGGTGGGTGTACATAGTAAGTATCTTCTTGTGTATTGGTACAGGTCTATCATCGCTAATATGATGTTACATTGCAGGTGGAAAAAAAATCATCAAATATCCCCAACTTTACAAGGTCCACGCCGCGATCCAATCACGCCGAACGCACACGCGCAGTCTCTTCCCGACTCTCCTCACTGCCCGCAGGAATGAATCCCCACCCGCTATTCTTCTTGCGCTGAGCTTTACGATCGCCGTATTGCTCGTCGAACTTGCGAATGGCAGATAACGAGGACATATCCTCGCTGATCGAGGCGCTGATCTCCTGCATCCCGAGTTCAAAGTGCGCAGGCGTGAGCGTGCGGCGTTCCGGATATTGATAGGCTTCGTCACCCTTGTGCTCGGCAGCGGCCTTATTTTCTTCCCGTACGCATGCCAATGCAGCGGCGACGGAGAGGTTCTTCAGATCAGAGCCGGAGTAGAGCGGGGTGCGGTGGGCGAGGTCTGCCAGGTCGACTGCGGAGTCGAGTTGTTCCTCTTTGAGGTGGATTTTCAGAATGGCGTGACGGTCTTCTTCGGTCGGGAGGTCGACGAGAAGTCGTCGGGGGAGACGGCGGAGGACGGCGTCGTCTAGGTCAAATGGTCGGTTTGTGGCGACCATGATGAAGGCTGACATGTCGTTCATGCCGTCCCATTCGCGCAGGAACTGATTGATCAGCTCGCGGTGGGATGTGCGGCTGCTGGCTCCGGTGCGCGAGCAGAAGATGGCGTCTGCTTCGTCGATGAAGACTACGCAGGGGCTGAGCTTCTTCGCCAGGGTGAAGATGGCCTTAACGTTCTTCTCGCCTTCGCCGACGTACATGTCGTAGACTTCGGATCCGCTCACTTCGAGGACAGTCGCTCCGCTCTCGCGGGCGACGGCCTTCGCGAGAAGTGTTTTTCCCGTTCCTGGTGGGCCGTAAAGGAGACAACCTGGGATTTTGTCTGTTGCCAACACACCGTAAGTGAAAGCCTCTGGGCGAATGAGAGATAATGAAGTCAGAGTCTTGAGGGCCTCCACGGTTTCGGGAAGGACGTGCACATCGTTGAAGGTAGTCCTGATGCTCTTTGCATCGACGACTCCGTTGAGAAGCTTCTTCTCATGAGTGGTACAAGTCTGGCGCAAGGATTTCAGGAGCTGCTCCCGGGTTTGGCCACTAGGTTCTGAAGCCTTGGGAGTTTTCTCCTGCAGCCAATCGCTAGTGACTCGATCGCCTCCATCCATGAGTTCAATTCCACGTCGGATATGTCCGAAACCGAAGGGCTCGTCCGGCTCTGCGCTTCCAAGTGCGAGGGTTGACAACCAGTGGACCTGGTTGTAGGACCAGAAACGCTCTCTCATACCGGATTGCTTGACGGTCGATGGGTCAAGTGGCCAATCGCGAGAGCCAAAAATATCATCCTTCACGGCTGAGGATGTCTCGCTCAACCTGTAACGCAGCATTGTTTGGAGGTGGCGGGTGTTGATTTCCATTGTTCGCTTTTGATGGTCTTCGGAGAAGGTTTTCTCCACTGTTTTGTTATCCATGGATGGAATGATCACCAAAGTTTTTGAGAACTGATCGTCAAAGACATTTTGCAAAATCTTTGGACCGTCTCGGGAGTTTGTGTGCTGAAGTTCTTGGGATGTGCTGCCAATCAGTAGAACCCTGGATCCTGCTCGTCTGCGTTCTTGGATAACCTTCTGGAGAAGAGTAATCACCCGAGAGCCTTCTCTAGAGCTTTGAATCTCACGATAATCTTGTATGTGAATGATAGTATCCCGTGACAGGGGCTTTTCTGTAACAGGCTCGAGGGGCTGCTGGGCCTCTTCGCCCTCGGTCTCGGGTTTCTTGTGGACTGGTGACTTGGATGCCCCACTCGCCGAGTAAAGGAGCTCATTCAACAGGCCTATCCACCGCTGTTCCATGCGCTGCCCGTAGCCTCGAGAGGTGCTTGGCTCCTGGTCGGGCTGGCCATTGATCGACGCGACGAGTGATTTCAAACCAAGCCAATTGGGAAGCGGAACATCGCCAGACTCCCTACTGGCCTCGATGGTGATGAAACGGGGAGTGCTGACCTCGGCGTGAGTCCCAGGATGCGCACCAGCGATCTCGGGAATATCTTCGTCGGCTTCTCCACCATCTGCAGGCTCAGCGAAGGCGGCCATTATAGCAGGGCGGTAGACTTCGTATCCGAGGGAGCGAATGGCTGACGTCGCACCCGACTCGGCAAGGTCATGCTCACTGAATAGCTGTGCAATATCTTGCGCATTTAGCGTGATCAAGTCGGTATTCAATTCATGTGATAATCGTTTCACGACAGAATCTAGGAACATAATGCCATCGTTGCCGGGATATTGAAGAACGAGGTGTGATTTCTTGGCCGATGGTTCTTTTGCATATTGCGTAGGCGGCAATCGTAAGCCTGCTTTGACTGACGCGCGCAGTTCTTCCCACAAAGGTTCCGCGAGGGAATAACGATTATCTGAGCTCGTTTCTGATGGAGTCACTCCGGTCGAAGGGTCTCCTCCATTGCCTCCAGAAGCCTGATCCCCCGCCGCATCACTGGTATCGGGACTGGGTCCAGGTTTTGACTTGGATTTCGTGATCTCGAGTTGGTACTGAGATTGTAGGAGGTCGGACTGAGCCGGGGAAGCATTGGTTATATTCGCCTGGAGCCAGGAAGGAATGCTGGCGGCTAGCGAGAACTTTTGCTGTTGCTGCTGCTCCGTTTGTCTGTTTCTCATAGCTCTGCGAACGGCAGATCCATATTGCCGCGCAGGAGGTTTCGTCTTCTCGGAGACAGAAGTAGCGGAGGTGTCATTCGCAGGGTTATCGATGTCGGAATGGTGATTATCTAGAACGTCTCTCGCATCCGTATTAGTAGACGGTGTTGAGCCATCGGGGGAAGGTGACGATAGCCATTGCCGCGACAGGTGGAACCGTCGCGCAGGAGTGGGTTCGGGAAAACGACGACGAGCGATGAGTCGACAAGGACGAAGGCGTACGATGGGCAGCCGAGCTTGCTGCATTGACAAATACATCCAGGGCACTATACGCCAAGGAGTCAACAGAGAGCGAATGGCTGCAATGGAGGTGAAGGGCAGGTTGCGCAAGTCCAAATTGAGGCAGTTCCCAAGCCGCCTCCGCGGGAGTGATAATATCACGTGATATACATTGATAAGAAGTTTTCATGAACTTGTAGGTGGTTTATGGAAGAGGTGCAAAAGATCAATGGGCAAAAACAAATGTTGAACAGGTAGTACGTGATGAGGATATGGTTATCTTCCTAATATGTACTCGATCCATATAAAATGCCAATAAAGAGTAGATCAAGCATATTTGTCAAAATTACCACCAGTTGTGAAGACGACATTTCGCATACCTATGGATCTATAATAGAAGTTCGATTAGTGCAGAGCCAAATAATAGACCTCGGGACCGTGTTTGTAATAAATAGGACTCTCGAATGGAGTTGAGTGTGAGCAGATGTCAGGCTTATTTAGGTTAAGGGTGATGGTGATCTTCAACCAGGATTATAATAAAGTTTGTGTTGGATTACGAGCCGAGAGATAACCAGTTTCAATTTCAAGATTGGAAGTTTTCATTGCAATGCTAATCTAGAATAGTATATTGTCCGACCGCGGGGTGATGGTATGATGCTCATACAGCTCGGTGACCTAATGACTAGAGTTGGATTAGCTGATGTTCCCAACTCAATATGGCATGTTGTGAAAAAAAAAAGTGCAAAAAGCATGTGTTTGTTTCTCAGACAAGATATACTGGCAAGTAGCAGACCAACCGGGAAAGGAAGGTCCGAATTTCCTCGTCATGTTCGATTTGGAAGGTAAAGAAGTAAATAGGTTTTGTCATCCTCGAAAGGGGAGGTGGTTTGAGTGAAGGGGGAAAAAAAGAGACGAAGCAAAAAAGTTCAACTTACCATTGCGTAAAAAACAGACGTGCAGAAATGAGCTGATGGTTAGTGGCGTGGTTCATCCGACATTAAGACGACCACTCAACGCAAAGGCAAAGATACACTCGGATATCGCCGGATCATTCGAAGAGTGAAGTCGCGGTGGCGAGGAGCATGAGGAATAAAGAAGAAAAAAGGATGAAGCGGAAGAAAAAAAACCGCGCTGAAATACACATTGGTCATGTGACCTGTTGATCGGGTTAGCGTGGTTTGGTTGAAAATGGCTGGCAAGAGGAAATGAAAATGGGAAGAATGAATTTCTCAGGATTTATGTGAATAGGGTCATATTTTTAGAGATATCCACTCTATTTCTGTTCCCTACATTTAAATTTTTATCTACATACTAGTACTATACCTACAGATTCATCTTGTAGGATTCTTTCAATTCGGTTACATCCTCCACTTCGGAGCCGGTTCCTCCGTCCCCAGTTCCCTCTTCGCTCCCACCGGGCGATCATCCTCCTGGAACCTATGGGCGATCGCGACAAGTCCCTCTCTCCCTCAACATATCCAGTTGGTTTCTGTGAGTCCTTTCTTTCTATACCTACCTAGGTATTCTCCTCTACCACACTTTCCCCCCATCCCATTCTCATCCACTCCCAAAGGGAAGAGACCCAGCAGCCCAGCCCCTCCACACGCCTCCCTATTATCTCTCTCTCCCTCTTCTTTCTCTCTCCCGCCTCTTCCACAGACTCTCGACTCTCGATTTGACTACTCCCTCCCCACGCCCTACTGACCTGAGTTCCTGTAGGAGAACGAGGCCTGCATTGAGGGCGAACCGGGTGAGTGTGAATAGGCTGAGGTCCCGATCGATGCCCCGGCCGTGTCGCGCTGTATCAATTCACCTGGTCTTGGCCTCCACCCCGAAACGCTAAAACCGACCGTCGGCCCATCTCAGGCGCGCTACTTCCATCGCACATCGCTTCTTTCCTCGGTCTCTTCTCTTCGTCGCTTTCGCGGTTGATAACCTTGGAGGCTTTCTGTCGGTCCTGACTCCCTCCGCAATGATGATGGCGCAACCGTTTCCCGCCCATCAAGGCATGCAACATGGCATGCCCCCGGGCCACCACCCAATGGCCGGACAACATCCAAACGCCGGACATCCTGGACCTGGAATGGTACAACAAATGCATCCTGGTGTCTCTCAACCGGGCGGGCCCCAGGTTAGCCAGCCCGGTCCCATGATGGGTGGCATGCCCCCGGGCGCTGGCACCGCTGGTCCTGGCGGTCCCGTCCCAAACGCCCATGCCCTCTCCCATCTGAACCCCGCGAATGCGCATATGTTTCAACAGCAGGGATTTCCTCAAAATTGTGAGTTCGGCTTTCACACCCAGTCCTATTTTAGTCGCTTCAGTAATATTCTGGTCGTCTTTTCATGATTGCCGCGCGATTGGCGCCGGCGATGGACTCTCTCCCTCACTTCCCCAACTAAATCCACTGCCAGCCCATGCAATCGCTCCTCCATCATGAGTACATGCTGACGTCTTAACTCTCGTAGTCGCGAATAATCCTCAGATGATGCAGCAACAGCAGCAGGCACAGATGTTTCGCCAGCGAGTCATGATTCAGCAACAGGCGCAGGCACAAGCCCAGGCACAGGCACAACAGCAACAGCAGCAGCAGCAACATGGTCTTCCTGTTTCATTACCAAATGGTACACAGGGGCTCAATGCTGCCCAGATGGCTGCGATGCAAGCGAATCCTAGAATGAGCCAAGTCAACATGATGCACCTTCAGCAACAGATTCCCCACGGCCAGCAAGGTCTTTCGCAGCAGCAGATGATGGCCATCCAACAGGCGCAACAGCATGCGCAACAGCAGGCCATGGCAAATAACGGTCAACCCGGCCAGCATACCCCTCAACGTACTTCTGCGCAACCCCCGAGCATGCACGAAACCCAGGCTGGGACACCGCAGTCTCAACATGGTGCACTCCCGCAAAGCGGAACTCCCCAGCCGAACCAGCAATCGCAACCCCCTTCGACACAGCCACCGCAATCACAAGGCCCTCAGCAAGCTCAAGCGACGCCAAATCCTCAACCCCAGCCGTTACCCCAGCCTCAGCAACCTGGCCAACAACAACCCCAACCTGGTCAGCAGCAGCAGCAGCCTCAACAAGGACCTCAGGGCCAACAGGGCCAGGTTTCTGGCCCGCCAAGCCAACAGGCCTTGGCTGCTCAAGAAGCTCAATTCAAAGCTCAGCAGCAGACTCAGGCTGCCATGATGATGCAGCAGCAACAGCAACGGTTAAACCGACAGGGTCAGGCTACTCTGTGTCTCCATTCCTACGCAGAGCACCTTGGGAACTTCGCAAGTCGTGGTGAGGCGCCTGACTACATGTTCTGGCATAACTTTGTAGAGAAGTTCTACTCTCCCGGCGGAGTGCTACGCCAGGGCGTTTGGAGCACCCAAGGAGGGTCCAAGCAATTTGAGATCTCCACCCCCGCGCTCGCGAGATTCTATATTACCCAATACAACACCGGCATCAAGCAGATTCAATTGGTTGTCGAGGGTGCTCGTGAACACAACTTGCCAAATGGCGGGCACATCGTGGAAGCCCCAAAGGCTTATTTCATCTACTCGTTCACCAATGAGTGCCGACTATTCACCCATGGTCACCTTCGTGCATACTTTGATGCCAGCAACAAGATTGATATGATGGACTTTACTGTCACCAGCCACGATGAATATGTCCCACGGTCTATGCTGCAGTCTCTCGAGGCCTCAGAGCAGAAGCAGAGCCCGAAGGCGACCAAAAACTCTGGAAAGCGAGCACAGAAGCAGGCACAAAGTTTCACGCTACCAGAATCGATGGTGACCCCGAACGGTGTTCCCAGCGGGGTGATGGATTTCCTCGAGATCGCGGAAACTATCTCCCATATGCAGATGCTTTTCAATTTCTCACAGCAGAACCCAAATCTTTCGCCACCCGAAGCCCTCCGTAACCTCGTCAACACCCTTCATGCGCAGGGCCCAACCGCCCAGTTCGCGACCCCGATGAATCCAGGCATGCAGCCTGTTCCTCGCCAACCTAGCATGAACGGTCCTTCACAGTTCGCCTCTCCTGCTATGGCCCACCTTGGCCTCCCTGGGGCACAAGGCTCGCCCCATCTGACCGGTTCAGCACATGCGAGTCCTGCCCAGAGCCAGATTGCCGGTGCTCCCGGAATGCCCGTCCAGCCGTCGCCAGTCATCAACAATAGCCCCAACGTTGGAGGCAACAAGCGTCGACGTGCAAGTACTGTGAAGATGGAGTCTGAGGATGGCAACGAGGTCAATGGCACTGGCGCACAGGGTGCGACGAAAGTGAAAGCCAGCCCCCGCGTACCAAAGAGGCAAAAGGGAGCTGCATCCTAACGAACTCTTTCCCTATGGGCATATGCTGCCCTTTTGACTTTTGATCGTCTTGTCTCACGTTTCAAGAGGCGGCAACTGGCACATAATTACACCACGAAGGCGACAAATCGGATCGTCTTTTACATTATCTCTTTATTTGAGCGAGAGATCCGTATGGTCCTTCCTCCAAACAGGGAGTTCTCCTTCAAATCTTCGTTTTTTGGCTCTGACGATAAAATATACCGGTGATGGGGTATAATTGCTGTCCTATCTGTCTCTTCTCTGACGCCCTCATTGGCGTCTCGAAGCAGGCGACGGGCCAGCTATTCACAGTGGTTCCCCTCAACAACTCCGATTTTAATGTACTCTATCTCCTCCCTTTTCAGCGTTTCTTTGGTTGGCTCGGGATCATCGCCTTTGAAATTTGCATGTCTTTTTTCACCACCTACACCCCACCCACCTGCGTCTCTCGAATTTCTCTCTGCCATGCTCCGGGGTTTGACGATTTCTGGATTGATAACTACTTGTTTTTTCGGGCGTTTGCCCTTGTCTATTGTGATTGTGATTACTTGTTCTTTATTTTCCTTGTTGAGGGCCTGGATGAACTGGCCGAATCCTTGATATCCGTGTTGGCGATTGCAATGGCGTCGGGCTTATTTGTTTCTTCTGGAGCTCCGTCCGCGTGCATTTTTGGGGGCTTTCCTTTGGGCTCGTTCTGGTCTTGGGCCTTGATTCTTTGATGATGATTTCCCCTCCTCACCCTTTGGGGCTCATCGCTTTGCCGCTATTACTTTCTTGACGAATCCATACATACTACCAACAACTTGCAATTACATACGGTGTAAAGATGGAGTAGCGTGACTCGTGTATAGGAAGAGTTTAAAGGGCTGTGCTATACCATCACCTATCAACTAACCTTGAAGCTATATGAAGAAAGCTCCAGCTTTGTTGGATGAGTTCGCCGATCCGGCGACCTCCGCTCGGCATCGGCCAACACAATGTGATAATGAGAATCTCGGCATTCCTGGGTGGTTATCGTGACGTTCCCCACCAACCCTTGCTTAAACTGCCCCTCCTCTCCCCACGACCGGGGATTTCTTTCTTCCTCGCCAATTTTCTCTCCCCCTTCCACACATCAAGGTTGCGAGAATCTTTACCAACATGTCGCACTCTCACGATCACGATGCTGGCGTCAGCCACTCCCACGATGACCCTTTTAATGGCCACGGTCACTCCCACGACATCCTCGATGGACCCGGCTCATACCTCAACCGCGAAATGCCGCTGATTGAAGGCCGCGACTGGAAGGACCGCGCGTTTACCGTCGGTATTGGAGGGTATGTGATTCTGCAGAGAAATATGGTCCAGATGGGATTGAGTCCTATCTAGATGTTTACCCTTTGCCCGGTCCAACTATAAAATACCAGTATCAACACTGACACCATCCCACTCTATCAGACCCGTCGGTTCTGGCAAGACTGCCCTCATGCTAGCCCTTTGCCACGCCCTGCGCGACCAATATAACATTGCGGCTGTTACCAACGATATCTTTACCCGGTACGATACCTTCCACATCTCTACCTAGCTACCGGCTATAGCTTTAGCTATAGACCCCCACCACCGGAGCTCCATCCCCAACCCAACCAACTCCGAGTCTCCGGGCGAACCAGAATATCCCCCAGCACAAGCTAACAAAACCCTTCCGAACAGAGAAGACGCCGAATTCCTAACCCGGCACAAAGCCCTCGCGCCCTCGCGCATCCGCGCAATCGAAACAGGCGGCTGCCCCCACGCCGCCGTCCGCGAAGACATTTCCGCAAACCTCCTCGCCCTGCAAACGCTCCAGCGCCAATTCACAACCGACCTGCTGCTCATCGAGTCCGGCGGCGACAACCTAGCCGCCAACTACTCGCGCGAGCTGGCGGATTTCATCATCTACGTTATCGACGTGGCGGGCGGAGACAAGGTGCCTCGCAAGGGCGGGCCGGGGATTACGGGCTCTGACCTGCTGGTTGTTAATAAGATTGACCTTGCTGAGGCTGTCGGAGCGGATTTGAAGGTTATGGAGCGGGATGCGGGGAAGATGCGGGAGGATGGACCGACTGTTTTTGCGGTTGTTAAGGATGGGAAGGGGATGGAGCATATTGTTAATTTGATTCTTAGTGCTTGGAAGGGGAGTGGGGCTTATGAGGTTAGTTTGCAGCGCTGGAAGGAGGGGGCTGTTAGGGGGTCGGGGAGTGTTGATGAGTAGGTGGATTTATGTTGATGTTGATGTTGATGTTGATGTTGATGTGATGATGGTCACGGCATTACTAGTACTACCCAAGGCTGAAGTTGGATTGGGGCATTTCGATCAAGTCATTAATCAAGTCTGGATTGGTACAGTATTGAATCTGGCTTCTGTCCTTGCTTCTGCTTCTGCTTTTGTGAGTACTAGTACTGGTTCTATACAAAGAAAAATATATGAATGTCATGAACGAATCTTTCCCCTCCCGTTTTCAACGCCTGAAATGCTGCAGTCACCAAGGGCTTCAAAATGTGTCTCACTTTTCGAAAGAAAAAAATTGGAAAAACCAAAAACGAGAGCCGTGGCTGGGTATCTGTATCTGGAAATACTGTCCATGAAAGAAAGGCAAGTAACTATCCTCAGGAATCCTTCTTCGTGGCGAATCGGCCCAGAGCAGGTCCCAGGTCTTCGCGCTCTTTGCGGAGCTTCTCCTTGTGGCGCGAACGGTGTTCCTCACGCAGGGCCTCAGCCTTGAGTCTCTTGTCATCGATGACATTGCCTCGGCCCTTCTTACGGAGATACTTGCGAAGAGCGCTGTTGCGACCACGGCCGCGGTTCTTAAGCTTCTCCATGTGGTCCTCGGGCCGGTGGTCCAGGTTGCGAGTCTCCTGCACCTTCTTGTCGCTGATGGTGTCCAGCTTACCGATGATGCTCGGGTCGAGCGAAATCATATCCGGCTGGAGCTTGGTGAGCAGCGAGTGCACCTCAGCCTCCTGGCGCTGCTTCGTGTTCTCGTACGGGTTGGCCTCCAGCGAGTCGAAGTTCGGCTCACCGGCGCCGGGGACGAGAAGACTTGCGAATCCTTGGTCGTGGGCTACGCCTAGGACATCTTCGTAGGGGCACCAGCGCATGTTCTCGATACGTTGGCCCTCGCCACCCCACGCCATGTATGGGCTGTTTACCTTGCCTTGGTCGGCGACGGCGGCGTCGAACAGGCCGCGCCACACACTGACTTGAGTACCCCAGCCCACGGCAGTCAGGCCGCGGTCACTGATGGCGACAGATGCTCCGGGCTGGTAGCAGGAGTATGAGTGTACCTCTCGGAACATGCGGATATCCCAGACATTCATTCTTTGGTCCTGGCCGGTGGAGACCATGTAGCGACCCTGGCGGTCGATTGCGAGAGATCGTACGGGTCCGCGGTGGACCTGGGCCTTGACAAGGGCAGTCTGCGAGTTTGGTGACCATAATGTCACGGTTCCATTTTGGTGTCCGGTGTGGAGGATGGCGTTGTGCGGGTTCTGGGTGAGGGAGGTAGGGCGTCCTAGGCGAGTAGGTAATTCGGCAACTGTTTGACCGGTCGAGGTGTCGGTGTACTTAAGATAACCGCTGATACCCTGCAGAAATTTTTTAGATCAAAAACTCGAGACATGCCATGGCAGAAATAAGAAAAAAAAAAGGTAACTCACAACACTAGCAAGCAGAAAGTGGTACGGGAGGAACTCGAGGAAGAGCGGTTCCAAGTGCTTGTTCAGACAGTGGATCTCGACACCATTGTGGTCATAAATGTAGACATATTTCTTCTGCGCAACGGCGAAGAACTGGTTGTTGTGAAGCCAGCGCGCATCGCGGACGGTTTCATTCAATTGCAGCTCGCAGCCAAGTTTGCCATCACGCCAGTCCATTGTCGCAACATGGCCCTTTCGTCCTGCCAACAAGAGATTGCGTCCGTTCCGAGTATAGTCCGTACGGTAAGGTCCGAAGTCGTTCAGTCGTAGCTCGAAGCCTTTCTTCGCTGTCTCCATTCCGACGCTGTCCTTGATCTCATCCTGTCGAACCTTGTAGGTCTTCTCCAATTCACCCTCGGGCTCCAGAAACCCGGCCTCGTGTTCCAAAAGAATTTCGGCATCCTTGGCTTGGAGCATGGCATTTTTGTGCTTCTCTTCCTGCGCCTTGAGGGTGGTGCGGAGCTTCTTGTCGCGAATGTTCTTCATGGAGGGAGCTTTGCCACGGCCGTAGGTTTTTTGGGCTTCGGCCAAGCGCATCTTAGCTTGTCGGTCCTCGGCCGACATAACGGCCTTGCGAGAGTCGGAATCAGCCATCTTTGTGGTTGGATGATGAGACAGCCAAAATGGTCTTTTCGCTGAGGACCGCGGGAGACTTTTTTCGCATCTGAAAAATTGTGCCAAGAGTTGGCGCTCACCGCTCGCTTATCCTCCACTTCGAATTTTTGTTTTTCTTATCGCCCTTTCTTTTTTGGTCTTGGTGGGATCGCTCCAATTCTCCAATTTGTTCTTTTATTCGACTAGGATTTAGACTGTTCGACAAGTCTATTCATTACTTCCAAGCTGGACTCCCTCCCATACCGTTTCAAAGGGTCCAGTGCCAATATGGCGCCCACCCAGGTGCATTCCCACCGTTCGACTACCAAGGTCTCCCACAAGCCTTTCAAGAGCAAGCATGCCTCGAAGAGTGCTTTGAAGGATCTTGCGAAAGGTATGAATAAATCTTCTTCGATCGCATTCCGTGCCACCAAAATTATCTCTACTGACAAATTATATAGGAAAAATCGAAGTTGAGCGGGGCACTCGCAAAACCCCCCCACCAACAGCTCAAGTCCAAACTCGATCGCCGCAATACAGCCCGCCAGAGACAACAACTGAAACATCAGGAGAAGGCGCAAGCAGCGAGTATCTTCGCTGGACAAAGCGGTGCCCCCCCGTCATGTCGCCATAGTTCCGCTCACCCCCACTATCGATGTCACTGCTGTAATTCGCTCGCTGAATGAGAGTGTCGATATCACTTCCGAAATTTCCTCCGAAGGTGCTACCCGGGTGCGGGTTGATCGTTTCAAGCAAAGTCTGCACTTCTTCCCCGCCAAATATGACCTGATCAGTGCGCTGGATGTGTGCCGCCTGGCCGATTTCGTGGTCTTGGTCGTGTCTTCTGAGGTGGAAGTGGAGGAGGAGGGTGAGACTCTGCTGCGCTCGATCGAGGGCCAGGGTATCTCCAACGTCGTTACAGTGGTTCAAGGTCTCGACAACATCAATCCGGCCAAGAAGCGGCCCCAAGTCGCCTCTTCCCTGAAGTCTTTCGTCAACCACTTCTTCCCTGCTGTCGAGAAGGTCATGTCTCTTGACTCTCGACAGGAATGCTCCAATGCCATTCGATCCCTCTGCACTGCTACACCAAAGGGTATCCGATGGCGTGATGAGCGTAGCTGGATGTTCATCGAGAATGTTCAGTGGCCAGAGACCAGCTCCGAGCTGGTGGATGATGTTGTGGTTACTGGTGTTGTCCGTGGTCACGGTCTGAAAGCTGACCGTATCGCCCATATCCCTGGATGGGGTGATTTCCAGATTGACTCAATTACTGCTGCTCCTTTGCCGACCACCAAGGGCAAGCGAGATGACGCCATGGCTGTCGATACCAATGAGACCACACAGGTCTTGGATACCCCTTCCGCAGACCAGGACGACATGGCTACTATTGCCCCTGAAGAAATTGAGATGGACGACGACGTCGTCTCTGTGGCCGAGACTGATCGCAAGGGTGTCTTGCTTGATGACTACCACTACTTCTCTGATGATGATTCACATATGCCCGCAGTGCCTAAGAAACTGCCAAAGGGTACCTCCAAATACCAGTCCGCCTGGTATGTTGAGGATGTGTCAGATTCTGGATCCGACATGGAGGATGAAGACGAGGAAATGGAAATGGACACAGCCGGCGCGCCTGAAGATGGTATCTTCCCCGATAATCAGGATGCCATGACCGAGGGCGGTCCTTCTGAATACCCACAGTCGGAGATGTTCCTTGACCCCTCTCCCGAAGATGAGGCACAGGAACTGGCAGAGTATCGAGCCAGCCGCAAAACAGAGGCCGAGGAAGATTTGGAATTCCCTGACGAGATCGAGCTGCACCCCAACGTAGCGGCCAGAGAGCGCCTTGCCCGATTCCGAGGTCTCAAGAACCTCAAGATAAGTCCTTGGGAAACCTCCGAAGATCGTCCCTACGAGCCCGAAGAATGGCGCCGCCTGCTGCAATTCGGCGATTGGAAGGGCACCAAGAACCGCGTCCTTCGCGAAGCTCTGGCTGGTGGTGTGAACCCTGGTATTCGAGTCGATATTCACTTGCGTGCCGTACCAGCAGCCCTGCGCCAGAAGGCCCAGCCCAACTCGCTTTTCTCACTCCTTCGTCACGAGCACAAAAACACTGTTGTCAACGTCAACTTGACCCTGAGCTCCAGCGTCGAGGCACCTCTCAGGTCAAAGGAGGAGCTCATTGTCCAGATCGGTGCTCGCCGAATGGTCGTCAAGCCCATCTTCTCCGCCGGCGACAACACCCCCAACAACGTCCACAAATTCGACCGCTTCCTGCACCCTGGCCGCAGCGCCATGGCTACATGGATTGGTCCCATGATCTGGGGCGCTGTCCCCATGCTGGTCTTCAGGAACAAGAAATCCGAGGCAGACGAGGAGATGCTCGACTCCGCAGAGGCCAGCCAACCCAGCCTCGAAGGCCTCGAGCTCATCGGCACCGGCACCGTGGTTGCGCCAGACCAGAAGCGCGTGATTGCCAAGCGTGCCATTCTCGCCGGCCACCCTTACAAGATTCACAAGAAGGTCGTTACCGTCCGGTACATGTTCTTCAACTCCGAGGACGTCGCGTGGTTCAAGGCCTTGCAACTGTGGACCCGCCGTGGCCGCAGCGGTTATATCAAGGAGAGTCTTGGTACGCATGGTTACTTCAAGGCTACTTTCGATGCCAAGATCAACCCGCAAGACTCTATCGGCATCAGCTTGTACAAGCGTGTCTTCCCTCGTCCGGCCCGGGCTATCGAGGAGATCGGTGCGTAGGTACTTTCTGCTTCATGATTATTTTATTTTGTATGAGATGGATGAAAGTTCTATTTTTTTGAGACTTCAGATGGTGAGGACTAGCTAGCAGTCCTGTACTGTTCTTTTTGGTGGGAAGGATTGGCGTCATGATACATCCGCAAAAGTAAATAGACTTGAGACGTTTCAATAATGAATCACGATTTTCTCTGCTATTCCTTGAAGACAACTTGAACCTACTTCTTCAATATTCTGTCGTACTAAGGCAATCCATCATTCATTTACGACGCCCCATTAGTAAAAATTTTTGGACGCTGGCGCCTCACAGAAACTTGAACACTGGGTTGATTGCGGCTATGGAGCACCGCAGTGGCCTCTAACCCACTGCCAGTGGGCACGAGTCCAAAAGTAGAAAAGAAAGGGCCAAATGTCATCATAGGACAATCTGCCAGTCTAGATGAAAATGTAACTATATGTTTGCATGAAGAGCGCGAAAGAAGAACAAGTATAACAAATATCCAGGTAGAGATTCTGACTCGACACAGGCAGGGAATCAAAAGACAACGCAAAACAAATTTCCAACTAGGAGAAGTCGTCCTCCAAGTCATCGGCTGCAGATGCATCAGCGGCTCCAGGAACACTGCCAGATTCGGGAATCTTTCTGTAGACTCGGGTGATCATGATCTGTCTCCAGTCGTTGAATGGAGCCAGCATGACAGCGAACTGAGAGCGGGTCTCCTTGGAACCACGGCCTTGAGAACCGTCTACCAAACCGTGGAACTGCTTCGCCTGGTCTTGTGTGGGGGTTGAGAGAATGTCGTACATGTAAGAAAGGAACTTGCACTCATTAGAGCCAACAAAGTGGGGGTACTTGTTGGGGTCTTGGTATCTTTCGAGGGCATTGCGCACTCCGGGTAGGTCCTAGAGACGAAAGATGTGAGTAAGATGTTCGAGCTTGAAACGGCACAAGATTAGACAATGAACGTACCATTTCGGCAAACATGCAGAGAATGGCGTTGAAGAAGCTCTGTGTATAATGGCCTGGGTAGGGTCCGTTGGGGTCGGAGGCAACTCTGATGAAAGCATCGATGGCATTTTGGTAATCAGCTGCGAGAGCTCCCAATTCTCCGACCTTCTGCCAGTTCTTGTTCGCAAGTCTATAGATCATATCCACGCATTAGTATTGCGGAAAATATTGATACAGCGGATGGGATGGGTGGTCCATACGCTTGAGCATTGTCTTTCTCGAACAGCTTCGCGGCCTTCTGATATGCCTCCATTGCCTGGCGTTCATCTCCCATAAGCTCTTCGTAGTGCTTGGCGAGAGCTTGCAGTTGTGTAGCAGCGCGGCGGGGGTTCTTTAGCAGGTAGAAGTTGATGGCCTTGTTAAGCACTCGAGCAGCATCCTCGGGGCTGCTCTTGCCGTAGGCCTTGAAGGCATCTTGGAGAGTATTGGCAGCGTCGAGGGGTTCTTCAATAGGCTTATTCTCCTCGATCGAAGCTGCCTTTTCGTAGGCCATACCCGCTTCTTTATCTATTCAAATCGGGAGATAGCATGTTAGTTGCAAGAAGGACGAGCTTGAAAACGTGGTAAACGCGGGGTGTGATCTGGTCTCACCCATATCCTGAGCCCGGAAAGCATTTCCAGCCTCCTTGTAGAGATCGATAGCATTTTCGTATTTTTCTTGACGTCCGCCGAATAGACTCCAGCCACCACCGGCACTGGAGAGGGCTTTATCGGCCTAAATATTTGCAGGTTGCGAGCGTTGGTCAGTTCTCCCGTTATTTCGTCATTGCCTAGCTCCCAAGTTGGAGAGGTCGGAAGAGGCGCGGGGACAGTCTTACCTTTTGCAGGAGAACACGGGGGTCGTGAGACATTTTGGAGGTGCTTCACAAGGAAGAAGACCAGCTGAGAGAAGGGAGGAATAAGCGGAGGAGGGGAAGTTGGGGTTGGGTTTATCGTGATGGGGAAAGCAGAACAACTGAGATCGGCAGTCCCGCGGCAGGCGGTCAATTTGTTTGCCCGCTTCTTTTACCTGCTCTTCCTCTCGAATCGAATCTCCATCGACCACATTTACTGCTTGTCAAAGCTGACCTGGTCCGATTAGGCTGTGTTCGTGCTATCCAATCGAGAAATCGGTCTCCTTTCTTCCCCCGCCACCATCATGCACCTCCGTGCAATAACGCGGTCGCTGGCCCGCAGTCAATGCATGCTGCGCCGCTATTCCTCCAAACCTCAGCCTCAAAACAGCAACATTGCATCATTACTGTCAGAACCTACCTGGTCCGTTCGATCTCTTCTTCCGGATTCTGCTTCACAATTGAGCGCACCATCGATCTCCCCCAAACAACTTCACCATCTACTGCGACTCTCCGCCCTTCCACCCCCAGCTACACCCGAGGAAGAAAGATCCATGCTTCAGACCCTCGAATCGCAAATCCATTTCGTGAAAGAGATGCAAAGCGTGGATACTACAGGTGTTGAGCCACTCCGCAGCATTCGCGACGAGACACTGGCTGCAACTAAGGAGACGAGTATCGGGTTGGATCGTCTCAAGGACGCCTTGGCGCAAGAACATGTTAGCGGAAGGAGGAAAAGAATCCAACGAGTTGAGCAAGAGAAAACGGAAGGGTCAGAGGAATCCATTTGGAATGGAGATGCGTTGCAGTCTGCCTCTAAGACAAAGGGCCCATACTTCGTTGTTGAGACGGGCCCAGGCGCGAGTCCAACTAAAGGCACAGGTGGCGAGGTGGCCTGATAGATGTGCCATTATGCCCTCTTGCTGCATTTCTGCTGGGGTATAACTATGCTCCGGTCTGTACCATATCACACAGCCACATCACCATGTAAAATAATGTTGAATACCCATTTGAATATTAGCGTCATATAAATACACCTGGGCAAGTACATCCTGAATCGATTTGACCATACATATGATTTCTTGTCCAAGTATTCCAATTCAGTGAGCTACTACCTACCTAGGTACGTATTGGGCTACTCCTCCAAGTTCTTTTCAAAAACTATGCGACGTTGCCAGTCGCTTCCCATATATTTGAAGAAATACCATGAAATGTACCGATGCAAACGTGATAGCGGCCTGGATACCCAACGATTTAGCTGCCCCAAGACGTGTAACGCAATCAATTTGAATATAGATCGCCGTAAATCTAGCACGATTGCGGCTGGCTGTAACCCATGCACCGACCTCGCCCGATCCCTCGGGGTAGCAGTCGAGTCAATTTGATTTACGAACGATTAATATCTTGTTCAAGTTGTGACGGTGGATGCATCTAAAAAACGATTTGTTTCGTCAAAAATATTGATAGATACTTCTTAGGCCAGATTCCGATCGTTGTGTTGACTCCAATGACCCAGGCGACGTTCACAAAGTAACATATCAGGATCGTCAAGACTGGAATCTTCGTGACGGCAACGACTGGACTGGCCATGCACTGGACAAAGCTTCTTCGCGGGGCTTTAGTCTATTGTATTCCGAACAGGCGGATGAAGAAAGTACCATGAGAGCTTGGAGGTGCCTTTCTATCAAACAAGGTCTCGTCGATGAGTAGGATTAAAATCATCCCATGCCTGACACAATTGTGCAAACCCAGAATGCCCATCGCCAGCTGACATCTGTCACAATGAAACAGGTGATCAGAGGACCGAGGTAAGGGCCGAGAATGACAGAAAACTCGACATGGTTGATGATGACCTGTGGGTACTAGTGGAAGAAGAAACGATCCTTAATCCGCATCAAAGCACCTCCTCGTAGGCAATGATTGCGATGATGGCCCACTTCTTTCTACTTCTCTAGTTCATAGGGTCGTTGGTTGTATCCAAAGGTTGAGGTATTAGAACGTAACGCCCGTCGGGGCTGGTCTTTAAAACTAACTGCATTATCAGCATAGCGACTAGGATCGACGATGTAGCCCTCGAGGGCCTCGGATTCCTCGTCGATCTCCAAAGTATCGAGATAGGTGGGCTGTTTTCCCTCAACCATTCTCGCTGGCGAAGATCTTGTGAGGGATTCCGGAAAAAAAATAGAAACACGGTGGAAGGAGGGAGAGAAAGGCTAGTGAAAGAAATGGGGAGATCAAATGCTAGTGCCTGTCACACGAGCGCTATCAACAGGGGCTGGAAAGTTGTATTTTGTTACCAGCTTTCTTTACGCTCTCGTGCCTCATACGCGATACATTAGAACGCTTTTTGGAACGACTCCATGATATGAAACGCGCATCCGAATTCACAAGCTGATTGTTGATCTACTTTCTGTCTGATTTGAGTGTTGCATTGGTAAATCTCCACTATTGACCGTACCTACTGGATTCCAGCTATGACAAGCGAAGCGAAGGATGCTCGAACGAATGCTTAAAGTCAAAATAGCGGCCAATACTGGGCTCAGGCCAGCTAGTGGCAATGTCCGCCTCGCATTGGCTTATGGGGTCTGCGTTCCGGGGATGAACCAGAGGTCCCCCAAGCAAGTTTCCGACTTGATCCACTGTCCCAGGGGCGCCAACAAAGGCTAGACAGGGGCGGGCCGTTAGCTTAATTCTTTTTGACTTTTGTGGGGGAGCCATAATCTGCGCCATCGAATCCCGGCGTCGTCCCGGTATAAGGTGCCCACAAGGCCAGTGTAACACAAAAAGTCCCGACATGTTGGTTGAATCCCTCAAGAGTCCATTTTTGACTGGGGCTCGAAATAGATCTAGGAGAAGTCCGAAATCAGTCCCTAGATATGGAAGTGCACAGGCACGATTCCAGAGCCTGTTCATTCACAGAAAACACCCACCCCATATTTTCACACAGATGAACAAAAGCATCGGAAATTGTGTATGGTGGTAATAGGCCCTAAGTACTAGGAGTGACTTGGGCAGAGATGGGTCTGGCGCTCATCCTTATTATTCTCTGGGAGACGCATCAACCCGGGGAAGTGGAGTTACCCCAGCCTTTTCACACGTTAAAGTGGAGACAACCACAGACCTTCGCCGGTGAGGCTCAAATCACCGTGGAAATTCGGTACAAGCAAAAAAAAAAAATAGCCAGGGTATATGTGTTTGCTGTGAGCGGCCGTATCAAGAACCTCATCTTTATCCCGGCATACGGCAGGACGCCCATTTGATTATGATCCCCTACGGGCGGTTACTACTAGTACTAGTAATAGAGAGAGTGGCCCTGCGACTGTTGTTGTGAACAAGGTGTAGTTTCTGGGTCCGTTCAAGCAATGCCAATGTGACATTTGAATTAGGTATAACACGGATGTACAAATTGCCAACTCATAATACCAGTATCAACCTCCCACAGTCGAGGCCTCACCACCGCCGATTTCCTCCGAGTCCGTCCAGCTCATGCACCTCGGCCACATTGCCGTCCAACTCCTGTATCGGCTCTGGCTTTTGTGCCCCATGCACACCGAGCCCGTAACTCTGTCCCGGCGCCCATTTCTGCTGCGACATATCTTCGCTCCTGGTACTATTCGAGTATAAATCCGAAATGGGCCGTCCGCTTTCTGAAGGTTGTCTGGGAGAGAGCGAGGGCAGGCTGATGCCTGCTGAGGAACTTGAAGTTGACATGTATTTCGGGTCCTTTCCTGCCCCTGTTGTCGTGCCAGCGGGACTGGAGTATTCCGAGTCTAAGCAAACGCAATAAAAATCAGCCAATGGACTTGGATAGATCCAATCCGGAATTTGAAGGAGACTTATACATACAATGGTGCGGCGATGCCGGGGATGGATACATCCTCCTATGCTCGCCCTCGACAAAAGACGGCGTGTGCCCGTGTCCACTCATCGCAGCAGCCTTCTTGTTCCTTCTACGAATGAAGAACCAGATGAGCGCTCCGATGATCACCAGCGCCGCAACACCCCCAACGACGATTCCCGCGATCGCGCCGTCGGATAACTCATCCCCTCCGCCACTACCCTTACCATCTTTATCGCCTGTGCCCTCGTCCTGGAATAAGGCGAATTGACCCGGTCTCGCATTGCTCCACGCAGCCTCAAGTAAATGACCGGCCGGACACCCCGCCGGTGAGCAAGGATTCCTCGAGCAGCAGCCGATGAAGGGTGGGACCGAGCCGGTGCAGGAATACCAATTTTCGTTCACGGTGCCGATGCAATGGTTGGGCTCGGTTTTATCGTAGTAGGAGGGGTCAAAGGAAGCAGCAGAGAGGAGGGTCCGGGGGCATGGCGAGGTGCTGTTTGCGTCGATGTTTGTGCATGGGTCCGAGGAGCAGCAGCCGACGAAGAACGGCGCATCCGGGCATACGTACCAGGTGCCGCCTGACGGGCAGGTGAAGTGATTCGAGGTCGAGTTTGTCATTATGATTACACTTGTATTCTGTCTTGATAAAGACTATTGTCTGGGTGCAAAAAAAAAGGAACTTTGGAATGGGAGAATGGAAGAAACCTGAAAATGGCGGGGTCAGGAGCGTTCCACCGAGCCAGGAAGGACCCTTGCGTTTCGAAGAAAGCTCAGCAGGCCCGGCGCTGTGGGGAGGTTCTTAATAGTACATGACTGAGGCTGAGAGCTCAAAGGTTCCAAGGCTGGGGGGTTGGGCCTCGAACTGGCGTTCGAGCTACTGCAAGCCTCACCGAGACCAGCGAATTTTGCGCATCTTTGATTGGCGAGTCCAGTCAAGGATTCTAGAAAAAGAGATCAAACCTGCTGCGCACTGCTAAATGCGTTGTTAGCGCAGAGACAGGCTTGGGGGCCGATTATCTTGCTTTCACGGTTGATAGAAGAATGGAAATTGAGGGCAAAACCAGTACTCAAGCGTAGTATGTATGCATAGATTCAGCCCTATGCCGCATAAAATTTAGGAATCATTTTCCTCGCCAACTACAATATTCCCCTGCTGGGCTCGTGTTTCAACTTTCAACGCCCAAATTTGTGGGATCCAGTCTCAGCCCCAAAGGCCAGTGAAGCGGAGCTAAGACGGCGCCTTGGCTGCATTTGTGGATATCATATCGCAAAGCAAACATACATAATTCCCAATTTGAACCAAGTTAAACACCCAGCTAACCTGGTTACCTCTTCAGATAGGCAGACCGACTTACGGAATACATGCGCGGCCCAGGGGCCCAACAATTCGTAGACGAACCTGATGCTATCACTCTGTTCAAGTACGCCCATGGCACGGATGTAATCTTCGACCTGCTAGAGAGAAAAAGCAAGCATTCGATGATCACGTGGCTGCACCTCGTATTGATGATATGCCTCAGTGGTTCGAAATTTATCCTGCAGCAGAAAGGCTCCAGGATCTTCATTCAGAACCCACATGGCCAGCCTCAAATCTGGATAGTATCGCATATACATCGTGAACTTTCCCATGTATCATCTGCCAACATGTTAAGTCGACCAAGCGAGGTGATTTCTAGAGTCTTGAGGAGTATTGCATGGGTGAGCTGGGACCGCTGATCTGCAGCAAGACACAGTGCCAACTGAACCGCGTTTTTAATTTGTCGTCCATTCAGGGCCTGCCGTGCCAATGAATTGATATCAATATCGGCGGCCCCAAGATCTGATATAGACTCAAGCTGGGCAGACCAAACTTTTCTTCTCGCCGCAAGATTCAAGGATTCATAGTGTACGGCGATCGTTATACGACTTTCAAACGCAGGATCGATGGATCTGACTCGGTTCGTCGTTAAGAAAAGTATTCCAGGGTGATACTCTAGAATCCGAAGCATGACGCACACCATTGCGTTGCGAATGAGATCCGAATTGCTTCGGGTTTCCAGAAAAACGTCAGCCTCGTCAAGGATAGCAATGGCGTTCCATCCCGCACACAATTCCAGTACATCGCTAAGTCTCTCCTCAAGGTCTTCGGGATTCACACCCAGCTCTCCCATCGTGACATAGTACAATGGACGGTGAAGAACTTCAGCCACTGCCTCGGCCGTTAATGTTTTGCCAACTCCAGGGGGGCCCATGGAGCAGGAAGATAAGACCCCCCTTGTTTGCTTCTGATCAAGTCTTCTTTCTGGGGTATGCTGCCTTGTCGGACTACAGCCGATATAATCTGTTTGCGTTCCTCTGACAAGACTAAATGATCAAACGCCTGATCGAAGAAATCGATTTGTGAAAGACCTTCGACCAGAACATGGCCCCAGGCCTTCGTCGTGAAGCTGAAACCGACCAAAGCCGGCCAGCAAAATATCCTGAACTGCGAAGGAACTGTTTCCCAAGCAGTGAAGAGCTCGGAGTCTGTTGCCCCCGATTGTGAACGCTTTGACAGCCACTGTCTATACCGACCGACAAGACCAATGATCGATAGAGATACCTCATCCACGCCAAGGCAGGGAAAATACCCCAAAGCAGCACCGCGACTCATATCCACCATTATCCGCCCACCACTCAAAGAAGAAGAGCTTTCGTGTGCTTTTGAGAGAGAAGAAAGCTTCCCCCTTGATCGACCGAGTCGAGGAAAGAACATGTTAGGAGCATATGCCAAATATTTCGCACCATCAAGTCCAAACTGCACATAACGCTCGCCCCTGAGCTGAAACTGTTCTCGCTCGCCAGAGCTAATGGGCCGGTACATTATTTCACTCAGTTTGCGGCGGAGATTTCCGCTCCACGCCGGGAACGATTCTGTAAAACTGGCGACCGAAAAATGTTCACCAACGAGTACGATGCACTCCATAGAAACTTGAAAGTTCCTTTGAACACCGTGAATGTTCTTTCGTTCGGTATAGAAAGAATCAGTTACACGATAAACGCACGTGGAATTTCCCGCTCCGGTCCCACCCTTCACAGGAATTTCAGGTCGGAAAACTTCACTCAGACAGTCGAAAGTGAGAGAATCAGTCTGGATCATTGTCTGGTGATCAGATATATCAGTCGCATAGAGCTTTTCCAAACTGCTAATTAGCTCTGCGAGACCTTGGATACAGAGCGGTGCTTGATCGGGGCCAGGGCGAAAGCCGAAGCCAGAGAGTAGATCTAGAGTGTGGGGTTGCCAGTAGAGAAGGAAATCAGGCGAGCCGGTGGCCAGACCCGAATTGTAATTCTCAATTGCGTGTTGCAAGCAGCGTAGGCGTCCCAAGATGTGATATACCAGCTGAGCCGGCACCTTGCGAGCGTGAGGAGCATTTAGATAGTGGCAAATGACTGTTCGAAGAGAAACATCTCCATTTTTGTTCTTGAAGTCAGAAAACTCGTATTCTGCATTCCGCGTGACTGTGCCGGCGAGAACAAAAGGCTGATCGACACGTGAACTCATCTTATCATGGGATAAATCTTGACGTGTGTTGAGTTTTCTGGGTGTTGATAGACCTTTTGGGTCTGGAGGGGGAGGAGGGGGAGGCAGGGCGTTAGGGCTCTCCATCTTCGTTTTTCCTTTGGCTGGCTGAAACAAGAAAGATAACCCTTGGAACAACTTGAAAGATATTATCTTTGAATATATAGTAGACCTGGGATTCACTTGAGCAATAGAAAAGTAGGAGCCTGCCAGTGTCAGTGCCAGTATTCTTATGGCGTGGGGGTGGGCGCTAATACCGAAATGGGAGTCGCGTAAACAAGGAAGCCTAGGTAACTATTAACTGAATACTCTGCCTTCTTCAATCGCAGGCAGCGATGGTAAGATATCTCTCTATCCACTTTATAGTGGGGTAAGAGGCGTCTAATTCAACATGAAAGCTACTTGAAACTTGAAGTTGAAGCAATATGCCTCCACGGGACTCCACTGTGCAAGTTGTGTACTATACTAGGCATAGATGTCGGCATTAATGATATCATGGATGAGCGGGGGAATTCTCAATAAAAGATAGGGCACGTTAATATTATGAAATGTGAAGGTAAGTTCTAAGAATTAACGAGTTAGAAGTTTGTTTTTTAATACACTGTACACTGTACTACTTCAAGTTGGTGAGTGCTTTCGGAATATTGCTGCCTCAGGCTAAAAAGAGCCTCGGCCCCGAGCCAAGAAGCATCGCCCCTCCTCCTCTCGACACTCCCCAATCCTTGTGACCAAGGCAAAGGAAGATAACCAGGAAACGAATCAATTGATGAGAAACTGTACTCTCCATGGTTGCACTACATCATGTTTAAAAATCTGAAAGAGAAACATGCGGGTTTATTCGAGTCGAAACAACCTGAGAACTCCAAGAGCAATGACGGCCAGGATCTGACGTCAATCCTCGACCGGTCGCAACGTGCCGACCTCACCGTGCTGGTCGCTGAAATTGCTGAATCCATGCGCGTTGGCCTTTTAGAGGTCTTTGAAGTTCCTCAAAAGGTGTCTCCAAATGATACACCCGAAAGTCAACCCCCAATTCGCGAGCAGAGTGATGAATCTACGCCATCAGCACCTTCCAGGCCCCAGGATACTTCGCCTTCGGACAAGGCAGTGAAGCGAAAGCCAGCCCCAGTCCCAGCCCCAGCCCCTGAAAAGGCAGCATTCCCACCTCACGCCAGAGCAGCAGCTCTATCGCAATTTGAAGACTGGCGAGATGCTGTGTTGCTGCGGATTGGCGAAGTTGTCAATAAAGATGATGAGAATGAACAACAGCGACAGGGCAACTCATCCCCGGAAGGTTCGGAAAGCCTTCAATTGAATGAAGATTCGAAGAGAAAGGAGAAATTGCGCGAGATCTACCATCCTATGGAAACACCTCTACTTCATCTTCCGAAGTCGACTAGATTACTTATTCTACATTCTCTTCTCTTGTTGTTACTCAGTTTGAAGCATTATAGCGCCCATTCCCGGGTTCTGTTGCTTCATGTCTCATCCAGTCTGGATATTGACGTCGATATCCTCAACGAAGATGAGGTCAAGGTTGCTCGGGGCCTTCTCGATACTGCTTTGGCTCTTGCTTCGGAGCCAGACGCCAAAACACAAGCCAAGAAGCCCGACAATTCCCGGAAATGGAAAGTCGGGATCGCCTCAGTTGCAGGTGCTGCTCTCATTGGCATTACTGGTGGCCTTGCCGCGCCATTAGTAGCTGCTGGGCTGGGGACAGTCATGGGTGGATTGGGACTTGGTGCGACTGCGGCTGCTGGCTATCTGGGCGCTCTGGCTGGCAGCGGTGTCGTTGTTGGCGGTCTCTTTGGTGCCTATGGAGGACGAATGACTGGTCGTATGATGGATAACTACGCGCGTGAGGTGGATGACTTTGCTTTCATTCCGATTCGAGGATCACGAAAGCGGACGGAAAAAGAAACCGAATCTGCGAAACAGGACCATCGACTCAGAGTCACTATTGGAGTCACAGGATGGTTGAAGGAGGAAGAAAATTTTGTGGTCCCATGGCGAGTAATTGGTGCAGACTCTGAAGTGTTTGCGCTCCGCTGGGAGACGCAGCCGCTGTTGAAACTTGGGAATGCGATATCTGCGCTCGTCACCAGTACAGCTTGGTCTGTTGCCGGGCGGGAGGTTCTTGCTCGCACTGTTTTCTCAACCCTTATGAGTGCCGTGATGCTTCCTCTTGGCTTGGTGAAGGTTGCTGGAATTGTCGACAACCCATTTAGCGTTGCCAAAGCCCGGGCTGATAAAGCAGGCGAAGTCCTAGCTGATGCGTTGATCGACAAAGTTCAAGGCGAGCGGCCTGTCACTTTGATCGGATACTCTTTGGGCTCACGTTTGATTTTCTCTTGTCTCCAGAGCTTGTCGAAAAGAGGCGCGTATGGCTTGGTTGAGAATGTGATCTTGATGGGCTCTCCAACACCATCAAATGGTGAGCATTGGCGCCGCATTCGCAGCGTCGTTAGTGGGCGAGTTGTCAATGCTTTCTCCGAGAACGATAATGTACTGGCCTTCCTGTATCGAACGAGCAGTCTTCAGCTTGGTGTTGCCGGGCTACAGCCTGTCCAGAACGTATCAGGTGTTGAGAATATCGATGTGAGCGATATGATCAGCGGCCATCTCCGATATCAATTCTTGCTCGGAAAGATAATTTCTTCCATTGGTCTTCAGGATCTTGATATTAGCGAGATTGAACGCGAGGAGGCTGCTCTAGCAGCGGAAGATGAGAAGCAACAGCAGGAAATAATCCAAAATGAGCGTGAGGCTGGTGTGAAAGACCGCAGTTCATCCACTGCCCAAGAGACCCTGAAAAGCCAAGAAGGGTTCGGAGAAGAGACTCGAATGAAAGAGCAGGTTGAGAGCCATACTGAAGAACATATGACAAATCATCGGATTCAAATGCTGGACCTGGATGATGCGGATTATTCCTCTCCGCTGGCTGATCAAGCAGGAAAGCACTCTGCTCTGTAAAGAAGCACTGGTGTTTAAATATGCTCAATCGTGGTGATGATGCTTTCAACCTTGGAGGTATTAGGAAATAATAAGAACACAAGCCAAAACAAGACATTCAATTAAATACTATCTGACGCAATAGTACTAAGCCCTCACTTCCCCCGTACAGGTCCGAGACATCTTGAACATGTATCTATACCCGACACAGGAGGTAGAAATTTCTTGACATTGGAAGATGAAAAATCACACAGTCTCACTGGCGGAGGTATTTAATGAGCCTTTTTCTGTTGCATGGGCGTCAATTTTCTTAAAATTGTTGAACGAGCTAAGACAGAAGGCGATTCCCGCCGCAGCGATCGAAATGGCGTAAGCAACCTTGAGACCTGTCATGTAAGCGGGCAGAATCATAGTCATCTGCTCGGTTGTAAAGATGTCTCGCAGCTCGCTCGCACCAGTTGAGATCACCACGGCCGAGTTAATGCTTGGTGCTGTTGCGCCAAGTTTGATGATAATCTGGTTAAAGAAGGCAGCCTGTGCCGCAGCGACGAAAACTGCACCACCGACAGTTTGGAAGACTGAGAGATTAGGTATTTTAGCAGAGTTCTATAAAATAATCTAGAAGGGGTAGGCAAATTACGCACAAACGATAACACCCGTCACGGCTGCAATATCAGTGAGAGCCACCGCTCCGTGCACCGCATTGATGGGAACCTGGTAGGCTAATCCCCATCCAACTCCGCCGAGAATTTGATATCCAATCCAGTTGCCTGTGCTTGTACCGATGTCTAGCGAGTACAATAATCCCGACCCGATGGTTGCAAGGAGCCCGCCAATAACCATCAGAGGAGCAGTATGGCCAGTTTGGGTGATGCTGCCACCAGAGACAATGATAGATAGCGACATTGAGACAATCAAAGGAAGGTTTTGCACACCGGACATGGTAGGGTTGACGTTTTGAATGCTCTGGAAGTAATAAGGCAGGTAATAAACTATGATAAATTAAGAACCTGCGAAACGGAATGCGTATATGGAATTCACAAACATGAGGCGGTTCGACATCAAGCGCGGCGGAAAGGCAGTCCGTTCTCCTTGGAACCATTCCCACACCACAAACGCAATTATCATAAGAGGGAATCCGACAAGAAGACCAATCACAGTGCTGGAGCTCCATGTCTTGATCTGTCCACCAAACTGCAGTGGCAAGATGTATGAAATCATGGTATATATTAGAAGGATCGTTCCAATGGGATCTATCTGCAGGAGCTTCTCCTTTAATGTAGCCTTGGTTGTCGAAGCGCTGTCAGGTGTATGGAAGAAGAAAATAATGGACGTGGCTGCAAGGCCTCCAATGGGCAAATTTACCTAGGTATGTGAAAGCCTAGATACCATATATTGAAAACAAGTTAGCGAATTCCAACCTCTGGAGGAGAAAGGTTACTTGAATTGATGAAGTAAATGGCAGAATTACTCACACCACCTCCAAGTTGCTTCATCTGCAAATGCACCACCAACAAGGGGGGCAACGACTGACGCTATACCTTAAGAAATGCCAATGATACTGGTGAAGAGTGGTCGCCGTTTTGGCCTGGCAATGAAAGCGATGATAATGAAGACCCCGCTCCCAATACCAGCTGCACCGATTCCAGCTATTGCACGGCCGATAATCAGTGCAACGGAATTCGGAGCCACGCCACAAATAAGACTGCTAATCTCGAAGATGAAAACCGCAAGGAGGAACGAGGTTTTGAGTGGGAAATATTTGAATATCTTTCCCCACGTTGACTGAAAGCCTCCAGTAGTCATCAAGAAAGCCGAACCGTATCAACTGGCATCCTGTAAGCTGTGGAACTGATTGGTAATCTTTGGAATAGCCGTCGCTACAATCGTCTAATTATTGTTTGGTCGTTCACGTTAACCCAGTGGTCTTGATCTCGACTCTTTCAAGTTGGCTTCCAGTGTGGTTATCACACTTTTATTGGAGAGCCCTGGGGTGATCGACATCCCTTTTACCCAAGTACTAGCCGTATTTGACTCATGCCATAACTTGGAATATATCTATAATACTCTAATAGTAGTACCTACCTAGATATATGTATGTAATGTACTATTTTAGAGCCCTGCCGAGGTGACATCATAGCGTTCGCACTCTAAACCCAAAAAGGTAACTCAGAGGTTATACCAATCGTATATCTCAAACTACTACTAGTAGGAGCCAATCCGGCATTGAGAGACACAAGGCTCAGCTTCAGAGAGGCCATTGCATTCAAAAGGATCGTCCAGGTTGCCTCTGGACCGCTGGACGTTCAAGGGCCGAGAAAATACGTCACCGCTAGCCTTTACGCCAATCCTAAGTATATTTATTTTCCACTCGACTGCGCCGACTGTTCAGGCGTTAATAACTCCCCAGACTCACCTCACAACTATTACTAGCACTATTAGTACTGTACCAGATCAATTCTATTCACCTCGGCAATCAATTTACCACTATGGCACAAAACGTCGACTCGGCTATACAGAATACGGGTGTTTATTCCAGCCAACAAGCCCAGGATTATTACAACGCTCAGCTGGGACAAGGCTCTATCGCGCCGCCGGGTCTATATGTACCAAAGGTAAAAACCATGATTGAGCTTGAAGCTTCAGACACATTTTCGCTTGTTCTTGGGAGTCTGGAAGTAATGATGCTGACTTTCAAACCTTGGAAACCAGCAAGAGCCTAGCATTCCACAAACCCCCAGCATGAATAGCCAGCAAGGACATCCTATTCTAAATGAGCAACGAGTGCCACAAAACCAGTTTTCTAGCGGCGCAGCTTATGGTACACCTTCGACCTATCCAGCCAATTTTCCCTACCCCCCGCAGCAGCAGTGGGCACCGGTAGGCGAGAATGCCTCATATTATGGGACTGCGCCCCTAGATCAATATGGAAACCCCATTGGACCTGGTGGTGCTCAAGACGAAAAAGGGCTTGGATCCACCGTCGTTGGTGGTGCTGCTGGCGGCTACGCCGGACATAAATTGGGAGGGGGGTTTCTAGGGACCACCGCAGGAGCGGTGCTGGGAGCCATTGGTATGAACGCGGCAACCCATGAAGTGTGAGTCAATGGTTTATCTGGTTTTCCTCGGTTTGATTCTAGCTTGCTAATGGGATTATTCTTTTGTGAATAGCAAGGATCACAACAAAAAGCATAAGAAGCACAAGCATCACAAAAAACGCCACGGATGTCATAGACGTCGGAGATGTGGTTATAGCTCGTCTTCAAGCTCGAGCAGCTAAAGGCATAGCGAGTAATTGTCTCAATGATATTTTCGTCAGGACCTCTCTATCTGATAACTTCTGGTTTGGCTCGTCGGTCATAGCGAAGACGTGCAGGCCGGGTGGCCTGCTCTTTGTTAGCATATAGTACTGTGTAAATGCCTCCTGTTCTGAATCTTACAACTTGAATTTGAAGGTACGAGTATAAAGTAGCAGTTTGAAGTACAATTTGTCTAAATTTCGTGTTACATTACTGTTTCAATCTCAGCTAGCTGCTCCTTGCACACTAGTAAGCGCCAGGTAGTAGGTCTTGGGTTGGAATGATATCAGAAATGGAGAGGAAACTTTCAAGTTGGGAGGAAGAAGAAGAGAGAGAAGTGGAGAAGCCAGTAACTAAATAGTATGTATCCTTCAATACTACCACTCGTTTCCCAGATTTTTAACCTACCTAGTCATGCGTCATCTTTTAGTACTTCAGGTTGATCAAGTTATGCGTGAATCCGTTCACCAAACCTAACCGTGACAATTCTCAAAGATACCCACACTTGGAGAACAGATTTCAAAGAGATGAAGTGAAATTTGCCTGCGCATAGTCGAAGGTATCCAATTGTCCCATAAATTGGACCACAGCAGCAAATACCACCAGGATATGAAAGATCGAATGGGAAGCCAATAGGTCGAATTCGCTAGGATATTGGCTTCCAAGAAACCTGCTCTTCTCAAAAGGTCTGCTAGTGTACCTTTTTCAAACCCCCAAACTTGACCATTTTGGCAGATGTTGCCAAATATTTCTCGTAGTGCTCTGGGGCTCTTCCTTTCGTATTGCGTCGAGGGGCGGCGTATTTTCATCTTTTTCTGTTTCTGAATTTTCAGGTATTGGCCACATGTGCATTGTTACAGACCAATCTGGCTCAATAATACTCTCCCAGGCCTCAGGAAGAATAATGTCACCATTTGGTCCAACAAGATCGTAGTGACCCTCGGCCACGTGCAGACCAATCACCTCGATGTGAAGAAAGGCCTTGTTGATAAAATTTTCCATTCCCTGTATCATATTTCGAGGTCAATAAGGAGCTTTCGTAGTACACAAATCCTGGAAGTAAGGGCTGTTACTTACCTGCCAGGTACAACACATCTCGAATGGGAAACTAAATTTCCGGCCAACAGCGTCTTTAAACTTGATTGGCTTTTTTCTCTCATTGAACACGGATCTCGCAGCCGGAAGTGAGCCAAGAGGGGGAGGACTCGGAAGGATGCCCTTGGAGCATCCTAAGTTTCGCCAAGGATTGAACAGCATCCAGCTCGGCCAATTTTCGTCGGAAGTACTCTCCATTTTCCCGATGCTCAAGCTCTGAGGAATCATCCTTTGCCTTCATATATGCATCATTCTCTGACACAGCTTCTGGCTGCATGTTCTTTTGAGTTTGACTTTGCATTAAGTTCAGATTATACACTTCGTTTAATTGCCCTTTAGAAGGATCGTCTGCCTGTGCTTGGTCTTTGATCTTGGCGTATGTATCATCTCCGTGCTCTCCGGAAGTATGATCGAGGCTGGCGATGGTGGTGAATTGTTTGATAGTTCTCGATGCGAGCTGGAATCAAAACTACTCGTCTGGAACTTTCCGACTGTTGGGGGTGTGATATCGTGATTTTGACTTTGTGACTGGTTAATTCCACTATATCATACGGGGTATATACCTAGGTAGTACCACTTGCCTGTTGGCTGCGGACACTAAAATATTGACTGCTGCCAGCCGCGTCTGTAAAGTGCTTCTAAGGCCGATCAATTCTTCCTTCTGAAACAAGCTCCATCCGATTTTCCTCCAACTATCTGCTGCCAATGACTGCCCACCGTTTCCTGAGAGGCTCTTCCGATATTTTTCAGTCTGCTGAAGGAATCTCCCCATTACCTCCATCGATGACCCCAGTATATGCGAAATGGCGTTTATGGTTGCTTGGCTGAATACTCTTCTAGAGTTGATGAGTTCGATGTGTAGGAATGTGTGCTGGATGCAGCCAAGCTCCTGGATTACTTCCTGATATTCCATACTAGATCCTCGTGATTCCGACAGTGCGCGTATAAGCCTGTAGGCTAAATTTGCACCAGCGAGAAAGTCTCCGACAGAGAAACCGAAAGACATCTCTTCAGTCAAAATATCATCTGCCACAGGCCATGGGATAATCAATCAACAAAGGATAGAAACGAGGAAAGATGAAGTATACAAGAAAATATGTTTAAAAATATGCGAGAGGGGCTGTGCGTTTGTAAACTCGATTCAGAAAACCGGAGGACTCATTGAAGAGACCCAAGTGAGGCTAATTGCTTAGCGCGTCTGCATTGATTTGTTGGACCAATGATATCAGCGAGCCTCAGCCACCCAATCGCCGTGGCCCCGGCACCCTCCCTGTGAGCACGCATTTAGAATAGAAGAAAATCCGACCGGGGAGTAGTTCACTCTCCTAACGATTTTGCGAAGCAAGAAGGTTACCTGGGTACTTCATCAAGACATTCAACCCGACACTGCATACTAGTATTTCTTCAACATTTCTGATTTCGTTTTGTCGCTTTTGTAAGATGAATCCGCGTTTGCCCTTCGGTGATGCTGCCTGGTAAAAAAGTGACCAGATCGAAGACTCCTGGCTGGATGTTCTCTTCGATGAAGACATTTACAATGAGATTGGAATTTTCCTCGTTGAAGATCATTTCCCTCGCCAATGGGCTGATTTCAAAATTTTCAAATCCGGCGGTTTCAACGCGAGCTTCCTCATGACATTCACCGAATCCGATACTGGCGGCGCTCTTTTAAGATTCCCGGGGTCCATATGTTTCCCGAGTAAAAAGTCCACAATGAAGCCTCTATCATGAGATTCATCACGGAAATAACTTCACAAACAATGCCGATTCCAGTTCCTATGGTTTCCCGCTGGGGAGAGAAACGAGAGCCCCTCAGATTTGGGTCCCTTTATAATTATGGACTATATTGACCACGAGAGGAGCATGTCTGATGTTCTCGAAACGCCGGGACGCCAACCAAAACAACGTCCAAAACTCAATTTGAATATCGGCACAACAAAGCTAAAAACTCTATATAGAGAACCAGCCAATATTGTCTTTTCTCTATCTATACTCTCTGCGAGCGGGATTGGGTCTCTGAAATAAACCGGCAAATCAGCGTGTAAAGTATCATATCGGCCATTGTCTATTTCTATGAATGAAATTGTGTGTCTAGGGACGCTACCTCGATCAAAAATCCCCACCGCGATATACGATAGAGTATCTTTTTACTTCGAAGCCGTCCAAGCTAGCAGAGCTATATATTCCACACCTCAAACACCAAAGGAATGATGCTATAGAATCGGCCGACGACTGTCGGCGTTAGGTTGTTGCTAGATTCTTATTTCGGAAATTTGTTCAAGATCGGGAACTTAGGAATAAATAAGTGTCATTAGTATGGCCCATTCCCATTTGAGTGCAACGACTTTTGCCCACAGAATGTCATGGTCAATGAATCTGAAAATTTCGTTGTGGTGGTGGATTGGGAGTTTATGTATACCGCCTCTGTTGAATTTACTGATGCTCCACCCTGGTGGCTTCTTCTCGAGATGCTAGAATATTGGACTAAAGGCTTTGATGACTGGTATGCACTCTATGAGAGCCGGCTTCGGGTCTTCCTTCAGGTAATGATGGATAGCGAAGCGGATGCGCACCAGATACGGAACAAACGACCCAAAGAAAGCCAGCGACTCTCTAGTCGAATGCGACATAGCTTGGAGAGCGGAGACTTTTGGATCATGTATGCTGCATGGAACAATTTTTCCTTTGACAACATCTATTGGAACAAAATCGATCAGCGATTCTTCGGGTCTGATACATCTGATGACAACATATGCGATGTATGGAAGAAAAGACTTCATCTATTGGAACCCGAGGAGAAGGAAAACATGAATAAATATGTGGATCTGAAGCTCCAGGAGAATGAGACAAGGCTTCTATGTTGGGACCCAGACCAGTATACCCTAGAATCTATGGCCAGGATGGAAGCTTGATCGCTCCCGAGTTCATGCTCTTATATCTAATGCTTTGTATTTATTCCAATTATTGAGCCTGTCCAGGTGACTGAAACTGATCACCCGCTTTGAAAGAAAAGCCCGTGTCTTGATATCAAACTCACTGGCAATTTTTCTTTTTCTTTTGCAGAGATTCTTGAACGGCTGGTTTCAAAGTCCTGGCCCAGTAATCCAAACGAGCTATAAGAGAAACTCCGTAGAGAATAACCTTGCTTCCCCTCTCCTCATACATAGCTTAGTTTCCCTGATTGGCGGTAATTACTAGATCACGTCAGATCATCCGGCGGGAGCGATGCAGCAGGATCTGGGCGCTCGCCTAGTTGTATCAGACTCAAGATGATTCGCCTAGACCCCTGTGATTGTCGCTGATTTGATGTTGGTGAATAATTGAGGGGTAAACACTTGAGCCCGGTAGCGTAGGGGGGGGCAAACATCGCTGCAGATGAAACCCTGTAGTCCATAGAAGCTCCTCGGCAGAAATATCCCTTCCAAATCAAGCCATCATGCATGAGTATGTATTGGTTTGCTTCTGCCTGCATTACATCGTGTCAAGCTGCTTTCTCGTTATTTTCCTTACCACTGCCTAGGTCGTCGGTTATAACTTCCCCTGGGCGAAATGGCTCGTCACTAGTCACTCCCGCTTGCATAACCTCCGAGGGCGATGCTGCTATGGAGCAAAGTGTTCTTCTTCTCTACTTTTTGTTGGGGCAAAGGTATCTGCCCAGATGCGAGGTATAAAACCAGAACCAGATTTGATTTTCTTTTTTTTCTGACATGTGAGATCCCTTCCAGTCATTCAACATTGCCTAGTACTTAGCCCGCCAAATTCGAAATATTCACGAATATGAAAGCCGTTATCTACACCGGTGATCGCAGAATCTCCATCCACGATCGCCCAAAGCCAGTGATTTTGCATCCCACCGACGCCATTGTCAGGGTCCTTCATACCACCATATGCGGGACAGACTTGCACATTCTGCAAGGCCATGTCCCAACATGTACCCCAGGCCGTATTCTGGGCCATGAAGGAGTTGGAATGATCGACTCTCTAGGTGCGGATGTCACGAACTTCACTGTCGGTCAAATAGTAGTCATTTCTTGCATCACCAGCTGCGGTATCTGTTATTATTGCCGCAGGAAAATGCCATCTCAATGTGAAACCGGTGGTTGGATCCTCGGAAATAAGATTGACGGGACCCAGGCCGAGTATGTACGCATCCCGCATGCCACATTGTCACTGCATGTGCTGCCAGAGAGCATCGACCAGAAAGTTGCGGTGACACTGTCTGATACTGTTCCAACTTCATATGAATGTGGGATCTTGAATGGCGACATCCAGCCGGGCTCTACTGTGGCTATCATAGGGACGGGTCCGATTGGGTTGACGATTCTCCAAATGGCGAGGAAGTTGTTCAGTCCCTCAATGACGGCTGTTATTGGAAGGACTCATCCTAGACTTAAGACAGCCATGTCCATGGGTGCCGATCATACATTCAGTGTTCTAGATGGGCAAGATACTGCGGTTGCATCTGCTCTATCGGTAACCCAGGAACGGGGATTCGATGTGGTGATTGAAGCAGTGGGGACACCGGAGTCTTTTGAGATTGCGCAGGCACTGGTAGGCGCTGGTGGAACCATCGCCAGTCTTGGTGTCTTCGGCGAGTCATGCGAGCTGCACTTGGAGAAACTCTGGAATCGAAATATCTGTATTTCTCCCACGCCCTCATATTACTGCTGGTAATTTCTAATGATTTCTCAACAGGTTTGAGAACCCGACTCATTGATGCCGTTAGCACTCCAGACATACTCAAAATGGTAAACACCGGTAGCATCGATCCGCATTTCTTAATCTCACACAGTACGTACCATGAAATCTGCCACCCTTAACACTACTTCCACTGCTAATAATAGTGATTGCCGTGCAGACTTTTCGTTTGACGACATTCATAACGCTTATGAAGCATTCGAGGAACCCTCTAAGCATGGTACCCTGAAGGTGACAATAACGATGCCTGAGATTGTCATGAACGGCTCTTCATAGTCAAACGACGAAGTCTTCGCTGTGAAGGGGGCAATCAATCTCACGTGTATTTAAGATTGAAACTTACTGCAGGGTACACCAACCTTTGAGCGTGTTTCCATATCGTGTCAGATCTTCTGCACGGTTTTCAGTGAGGTGGATTCATCGAGTACCTAGGTATAAATTTCAACAAGACCATATCAATCCGAGCCAAGGGAAATTGTATATCATACCTAGGTATCGTTCTATATCGCGCCCTGGCACCCAAAACTCACAGCGAATATCTTTCGTCGGATTTTCTTTGATCAATCGTGTAGAATTATCCCATTGGTATAGGTACAATGCCGTGTCGTGCATACAATCGGGGCGTGATTCGTGCCCAGTGAAGTAGTAGTAATTTTGCTTGGAAGCAGGGAGTAGTGTTATGGGCGACCAGATAAAAATCCCTGCTGGTATGAATTTCTCTTTCTTTGGCTTTTTTCAAAGTTGTTGAGTTTCTTTGTTCTCCGGTCTTTCACCCCTAAAAGAATGTATTCTAGGTTCCATCCTCTAGTATTTGAAATTCGACTCCCTCCCCCGGTCGGATGGGTATCTTAACTGGGGAATTCTCCCAAGGCTTGCCGAACAAGTCGATTTTATCCCCCTCCATCCAAGCATGTGTGCCTAGGCCCTCGATCGCATCCAAGCGATACCGCTGCCCTGTTTTCAACAGATGCATTCCGAGTCTCCAAAATCCGTATTTACCTTCTCTCGTTGTGCCAGTATTCTCTGGGGTGAATTTCTCATGCCCAAGCGGTCTAAAGCTCTGAGACATCACGTACGGGATATCAGGGTGCAGTGTGAGCAAGCGATCCATATCTTCTTGGGTCGCTGTGCCTGGCGGCCCTTTGCGATAGGTGTCGACCGTAGGTAATTGGGGCATGGCCCCGGTATCTGTTTCGGAGATAGTAAGGCAGTTGACTATAGGGACCAGCCGTGCATCCAGTCGAACGAGCGTCACCGGGGTGGCGCTGTTGATTAGGGTAAAAGTACAAGTGAGTTGAGGATCTTTAGGATCCGAGTAAGAGAGGGTAGGAGGAAGTTGGACATCGAGTCTGACGTGGCGATCCATGAGGCTATCAGAAGTTCGGTGATGGCAGGGTAGGTGGGTAGGTAGGTAGGGCGTCTCGATGGGTGGGGAAGAAGCAGAGTTATCGGAAGCGAGCCGGTCATTTAGATTGGCCGTGTTAACGCCAATGGAGGCGTGAGAGACAAGGTAGATTAGCCAGCCCGTCAATGAATAGTATTTCTAGATTTTGGACTCAGTGCCCAGTGCTGAGAATCGAGGCGAATTGAATCAAATTGATTAATCGGTCTGACATCTGTGAGACCGCCGGTGTCAAATGAATCCATTGATTCAAGTTTGGCCATCATTGCCAACGTGCGGAACGAAAAACTACGATGCTCCACTTGCAAGTTTGCAGAGCGTTAAGAGCAAGCTGGGCCTACCTGGTAGGGGTAGGTATTAACTGCTTGCAGGGAAGATGGTATCATAATTTGGGGAAAGCAATGATAGTATACTAGTATTGTGGAAGCCAAAGGTCTGAGTATAGAGATTTCGGCCTCACAAGAGTGATCCAAATCAATTAAAGATATACGCAATCAAAATTCAAACACCGGGCTTCTCATCTCACAACTGGTCTTACCACCCAAGTACATGAGGGCAGCAGGGCAGGCGTGGTAGTCAAAGCTCTGGTCGCTCCCCAAAATGCTACTCCGATTTAGTTTGCTGTCTCATACGGGCCCTGGAACAGATTTGGTAGTCGGGGCGCAAAGCTCAGGGCTCCGGATACTGCGGCAAACAGATAGAGGGGCCACAATTTCCTCTATTGTAAGAGGGACCTTGTGCCGAATTCAATAGGCTTATCACCATGGTGATTGAGATTGAAATTTGGGATTCCTTTACCCCAAAACGTCAGCAAGAAATGCTAAACCACTCCCGGAGACTCTTAGTGTTCATGATCTCCTTGCAAATAGGATCCCATTTAGCGACGATGCGATACAATCGAGAAATTGGAAAGAATCGGCAACGATTTGTTGATCGATGTCTATCAGTTCAATCGAGAGATCTTTGACATGCGGCTGAAATATTTAATGGGGTTTCTTTTGGACGTATCGTGCCACGCAAAGGATACTGGAGGTTTACAGTGTCTGATGAACTTGATCAAGATTGTTGACAGGTCCCCGCTCAGTTCTGATTGAAGAAAGTCTTCCAATCACTTCCGTCGCCAGTCGTCACAGCCTGATCGTCATCGATATTTCCAGTAAGCATTGCCTTGTACTTCGATTCAAGAGCAGCCAGTATCACACCACGAGGGAACAAGGGGATGGGTTCTTCGTCAGCTTTTGGCCAGCTTTGGAGGGCGTGTGTTTGTTTCTGAATGGCATCCTCTGCATTGCTCTGGCTGAGATAGATATCGATCTTGCAGTTCTCAGCCGTAAATATAACTCGGCCGGCTTTCAATCCTTGCAGGTGGAAGTTCGGTCGGGGCTGCTGACGCGATAAACAGGGAAATTTTGAGTAGTTGTCGTTGACTCGGTAGAAAATTGGCCATTCGTTATCGCTTTCCCATAGCCGCGGGCGGGTAACCATATCCATATAGACTGCCATAAAAGTCCCATGCTGCAGTACCGAATCCCCCAGTGATATCCGAGTCGCAGCACGCTTGGGTTGCAATATCAAATAAAAGTATATAAGAGTATTTCTGGAGACTCTCCTGGCCTCTCAGAGGCAGCGAGTAATAGACGTGTTGAAAGTTTTCTTGGAAGTTTTCTTGGTGGGAGATGAGGAGGTAAGACGGCGATGTGGTGGCTGCAATTGTTTTCAGGTTTAAGGAGGACAACAACTCAGTGGTTCCTGCCGTGTGATCCTGAGCAGAATGGTCACTTCCTCGTGATCTTGTTTAAGGGAAATTGGAAGGAACGAATTTAGACACGTCAGTGAAGGAGCGGTGCAGTTCGCGCAAGAGATGGGCCACGGGTAATAGTAGTGGATTTCCTCTAATATCTTCCGATCTGTTTCAAATCAGGACACCGCGTCAATTATCACATACGTAGTCATGCTACGTACGTGTGAAGGGGGGGAGCTAAAGATGGCATCATCCATGGTTGAAGGAGAAAAAAGCTAGAAAGTGAAGTATTATAGAGAGGGCTTGGTCAAAAAAATGCACCATTCTAAAATAGCAAACATTTTGAATCAAACGACCACCATATAGAACTGCATTCTTTCTACCAAATGCTTTCTGCGCATAAAAAACAACTCCGACAACAGGTATTGGAAAGGCGAAAAAAAAAGGTCGTGCCCGGGATCGAACCGGGATCGGTGGAATCAGAATCCACAGTGATGACCATTACACTACACAACCATTTTTGGATAAGCTTCGGTTCCAGATAAGGATCTATCAATAGAAGAAAAGAATGCAAAGAAAAGTAGTACTAGCGTCAGTGGTAAACCTCCAGATTGCCGGTATTATTTAGAACTATTAATGTGCGCTACGTATCAAGATCGGTACAGATATACCGCAAATAGATTAGATAAAATTTAAAACTGAGCATACTATGGGAAGCAACCTTCAAGTTTTGACGTAGTATATTATTCTAAGAAGCCATCTGCTGTTCTAAAATGACTCCAGGGCTGAACTTGAACTTTTATTGGGTGAGCTGAAGTGCAAAATATGGAGACAGCATCTTCGGGATGCAAATTATTACTACTAGTATTACTACTATTTACTTCAAGTTGAAGTCTGCAACTTTAAAAACCACTGGCAGGTATTACTAGTTAGTGCTAGTACTAGTAGTACCTGGTATCCATGGACTCGGATGCGGCACTGGTATTATTTTATACCCAGTAGGTACTATTCGTGAAAAGAAAAAGATAAAAAGATAAAAAAAAAATAGGAGACTTGGAATTTCAACGGCCCCATCCATCGCCCGGGTTCCCTCAAAATCCACCGCGGCCCTCAATCTACATCCGGTAATCTGGCATGTTCATTCCAGCCTCCCTCACTGGGCCTGTCTTACTAGCATCACGAAACATATCCAATGTCGATTTGATGTCTCGGAAGAAATCCACCGGATTGAACAATGCAAGCCATGCGAAAATCCCCAGTGGGCCTCCCTGGTAGCGTCTAACGTAGTGGCCGCCGCTCTCGCTGTCGACAACGGCCAGATATTGTTGAGAGTCGCTGCTGCTTTTGATACCAGAGTTTGACGTCTTGTATGGCTTGACGGAATAAGCGTAGTAAAATAAAAATGCGAACGGAACCATTTGAATGCAGATAAGCATGGTAGGCAAGCCGATGATTGTATCTGCGTAGCTTAGTGTATCGGATGGCTTGAGGGCGTCGGCGGAGTGCAGAATTGTAAATATGATCTTTTGAATTGTCAGATTTGTTTCCGGTTAAGTTCTCAGCGGGGTGAAGTAACTGACCTCTTCCAAAAACTCAAGACCAACAACGAGCTTAAAGGCCAGGAGCTTAAGTAGTGGTTTATGCTCTTGCATATGCCCTTTGAGGTTGGTGTAAAACCCGAGAATAGCGACGATCGCTAGACCAAGCGATATGATTCCAATAATGTTGATCTTTTTTCAATGTTAGACGCAGATAATCTCTCAAAATTGGTGAGTATGCATTTTACTTACCCAGAAATGAGCAAAATGTTTATCTCTGCTTTCAAGACAGTAGGTTCCTTGTGCCTGGGTAATACATTGAGCTATGGCGAGAATAAATGCGACAAATGGATATTGCAGTACCAAGATCCAACTTCGCTGTCAGGATAGAGTAGTGGGTTAGTTGAGTTTCCAGCTATCACTTAAATTCTGGGTTACTAACCTTCAACCATGAGAGTCCGTTTGTTGTTTTGCTTTTGTTGAATTTGCTGGGAATCCTCAGGGATGCAAAGAACTCAACTCGGTGTCGGTCGTTGGGCGCAAGAAAGTCGCATAGCAGCATCAGAAAGGAATACATTGCAATTCCTTGGACAACATCAACCCATCCATTCAGATAGACATATGCGTCTGGGAAACAGATCGAAAGCAACGATAAGATCGAGTATATCGGGAAAATAGACGCGATCCTCATGATTCTTCAAATCATGCCTGTTAGCAGACATCCCCAAGAGCTAGTACTTTTATCGCTGTAGAATAAAAGGACCGGACTTACTTGATCTGCTTATTCGGATCGCTCAAGTGAATTGCATGGTTAAACATAGACATTAATATGACCAAACAAGTGAGACCCGTGCAAGCACCCGAGAGGATCATATTAAATTGGTGAAATGTAAGGTCACCGACAAGGTTATCAGGTGCATCTGATTAAAAGCATAATTAGTTTAGGCGTTCCGATTTGAATCCATTCATTGAGATCGAATCGCGCACCAGCAACAAGATATTTCGGCATCGGGCAAGTTGTATTGCTGTTGTCATCATGGCTAAAGATCCCCATCTTGAGTCGGAATAGTAGTCAAGTAATTAAGCCGACGTAGTGATAATAAAGTCCTGGATTCCCGAATAAATGGGCAATTGACCTTGGATGGTGGTGGTCGAAAGCGAATCTTGAGTAATTATTTTGAATACAGCACAGAGGCAGACCTTGATTTTATAGCCGCGAACAAGTGTAGACTGATTTTGCGCAGCCCCGTTGAGTCCAGATGCTGCTGAATACTCTGAAGCATGATCTACTTCCAAATTCCCCACAAAAGAAGTTAAATCGTCCACCGTCGGGCTTATCCGAATCTTCAGCCAGGCGCCATCATCAGCCCTAAACAAGCCTCGCAGCCTGCATTCCAAATGGGGAAGCAGATGCGGCCGACGATCTCTCAATTTCTCAAGCTTATTGGATGATACTCGTCCACTTATCAGGTGGGGGCCATTTTCAACGCGCTAGGCGATTTGAAGCACTTTTTGCGGCAAGCCTATCAGCGAAGGGAAATTGGGGCTGTGAACCCGCCCGGCCTGAAGAACAACCCCCAGTCAACAGTAAATAGAGTCCCCAAGCCCTCTTTTCCCACCCCTCTGGACAAGCAAAGCTCACAAGCCTCGCATTTAACTCCACATTTTGGCTAGTTAATATATCCGAGACATACATAATGCCGAATAATCGCGGGCCGAGTAAAGGATGCCGACGCTGCAGGGAATTAAAAGTCAAGGTATCCCCCTCAGATCTCACCGGCACACCACAGCAAACAACACCGTGACCCTCTAACAAATCGAAATAGTGTGACGAGGCCAAGCCAGCATGTCAGAGATGTCAAAAAGGTTCTCGCGAATGCATATATCAAGCCGATTTCGATCGTCTGCACCGCGACCAAAATTCAAAGGCACAGTCCATCGCGACGAAGAAATGGCGACAGCGAGCCGACTTTAGAATCGAAGTACCAACCCAGGAATACCCAACCGACTCACTGGCCCAGCTAGCGTATAATCGCTTCTGTTATGATTTCATGAAATTCCCAGGGGTGATTGGCAAACTTCCCAAGATCCTCGAAACTGCAGCCGCAGACTCGTGCATTTTCACGGTCGTTAAAGCCCTTGCCCATGCTAACTACCACGGTCGCTATGAGTGTCAAGAGGCAAATGAAGAAAGCAGATTGCTCTACGGCGAGGCATTGCAACAACTAGCAATGCTAATGTCAGACCCCGATGAGATGCAACGTGACGAGGCTTTGATGGTGATATTTCTTTTCAGCTTATATGAGGTGGGTGAACATACCCTTTACTCACTGGATACAATAGTTGATAAAAACTCACCTTTTTCAGATGTTTACATCGTCTAAACGCGATGGCTCGTGGATAACGCACATGCAAGGCACGCAATCTGTTATTGCACATAGGGACAATACCAGTCTGAAGGACGCCTCTAGCTATCTTTCAGTCCTATGCTCTCATCTGGTATGTAGTATCCGATACTTATAGCAAAATTATATCCACATTCAGTATGCTAATCTTATACAGGTCGTTTATTACTTAACAGAACGAAAATGTCCACCACCGCACCTCGACCGTTGGATTCAACAAATTCCATTTGAATACGATTCCAAAAAACGCCTGATAATTTTGATGTCAGACGCCGCAAAAGTTTGTTATATGCTTGAGGCATGTAGTAGCTTCGAATGTTCTACCAATCAAACAGTCCTGGATATCCTCAACGAGACCCTCGAACTCGACCTAAGACTAGAAGGATGGACAGCAGATCTGCCCCCAGAATGGTCCAATGTGGCACTAAATCTCGTCTCACACAAAAACCGTCCGAAATGGTCGAAAAATCTACTCTCAGGCCCCGGCGCCCCCGAGAAAATGTACACATACCCGAACCGCATCGCAGCTAGCAAATGGATGATGTGCCGGGCAAGTCGCATTCGTCTGAATCTCACTCTCCTTGAATTCTTGCTCCAACGACCTTATCTGAAGCCGGAATATTCAGGATTGGAAGCCCGCACTATTGACCTGCTTATATCTTTAGCCACTGAGATTTCCTATTCGCTGCCATACTTCCTGGCTCTGTCTCCTGATGGCTCCTCTGATTTTGCTTCGGCGACTGATATTCCCACCCTTTGGGGTTACATGACTCTCTGGCCTGCATATACCAGCTCTTTATGTCTACATCATAGATTGGTCAGGAAAATGGATTCTATGTCAAGGGGGACATGGTTTCGAAAGATGATCGGTTTCTTACGCGAATCTATAGGCATAGCGAAGGCCCAGATCTTACTCAACGAGACGCTGACCCAGGAGATGGATTCATACCCTTTTGTTGAATTAATATAAAGAGTGAATTATATTTTTTTATCTTAATTCATCTTACTTCTCATGTCAAAATGAAAACAAAACATTCACCATCCATGGTAGTTTTAGTATCTTAAAGTGGTCAGTGCGTTCCATAGCCCCACTTGAACTGGAGCTTCGACCAACAACCACCCTGGGACAGAAGTGAAGGTGAAATCATCGCCAGCTTCAGCACGCCTGACTATCAGCGTAAGCATCCAACACAGCCTGCATAACGGGCTTATTCTTACTCGTCCCATCACTCGTCACCTAACGCCACGGGATATTCGGCCTGCAGCACCCGCTTAGGAAAGATAGGCGTGGCACCAAACAAGCCTTGACAAGGAATTCCCTATCCACCTTTCTACCTTTCTACAGAAGGCCCAAGTAAACAATTCTCTACCAATATGAGTACGGGTCCCACAGAGCTGCCTCCCATGGCCGAGGCTCACCCCGAAAGCATGAAAGCTTGGCTATACAGCGGCACAAGCGGTGGTCTCGAGAAGAATCTCGAGCTCAAATACTCCATCCGCGCACCCCCCGCCCCGCGCACCAACGAGGTGATCGTCAAAGTGCTCTCCGCCGGCCTGAACCCAGCGGACTTCAAAGTCCCCGAAATGGGCCTCGCAGCCACCCACCTGGTCATCGGCATGCCTGCCACTCCCGGCATGGACTTCTGCGGCCGCGTTGTGAGTACCGGGCCAAGCGCCACGCATTTCAAACCCGGCCAACTTGTCTACGGATCTCAAAGTCGGCCCGTGAAATTCGGGTCCCTCGGCGAATACCTTTCTATCCCGGCTACGTTTGTTGCGCCGCTTCCGGAGGGCGTGGAAATTGACCAGGCTGCTGGTATTGGCATCGCAGGCCAGTCGGCGTACCAGGCTCTTCTTGGATACGTGAAGGAAGGTGATAAAGTCTTCATTAATGGCGGTTCCGGTGGGTGTGGGTTATTTGCGATTCAAATTGCGAAAAATATGGGCTGTCATGTCACTGTGACCTGCTCGACGCGGAATGTCGAGCTCTGTTACCGGATGGGAGCTGACAATGTGATCGACTACACTGCCGAGGAAGACCTCGTGGCTGGAGTCAAGCGGCAGGGTGTGATTTACGATCATATAATTGACCACATCGGTCTTCCTTCTCCGCTATACTTCCAGTGTCATCATTTCTTGAAACCCGATGGTGTGTTTGTGCAGGTTGGCGCATCGTCTATGCTTACTTTTGCCGGACGTCTGGCTTGGCCTTCCATTCTTGGCGGTGGGAAGAGAAAATATGTTATCTTTTTCTTTGCGAATACCGGGCAGCATCTCCTTAAACTCGGCGAAATGATGGAAGAGGGGAATCTGCAGACACAGGTGGATAGTGTTTATGAATTCGAGGACACGGTTCAGGCTTTTGAGAAACTTCGCTCCGGGCGAGCGAGGGGGAAGATTATTGTTCATGTGGCAAAGCCGGATGCCCATTGGCACCAGGAGATGGGTTTATTTTGATTTTCACGTGTATTATATCCAAATGTCACGATACTTGCAATTAAAATACCTAATAGTATGCCACGAATACTCAAAACTTATTTCCGCTTAAAGAATGTCAGTGCGCCCAATGCTAAGGCATCGACACCAGTTTTCAGAGTTGGCTCTATCGCCGGCGCGAAGAATGGTGAGTGATTATTGGGCAGCTCATTGACTGTGCCTTTAGCCACGGCATCATCCCAGGTTTTCCCTTCAATGCCCCCAAAAATCCACATCGCATAAGGTGCCCCAGCAGCAGTTGCCAAAAGCGAAAAGTCTTCACTGGCAGCAGGACGGTCCACTTCGATAAGACGCTCCTGGAAGAAAGACTTAAATGTAGAGCGCAGGGCGCAAACCGTCTTCCCATCGTTGACCGTAGAAGGGCTGGAGAATGTCCGTGTGATTTTAGGTTTCTCAACAGCGCCCCCAGCCTCACATTCTGCCTCAATAATTCGACGGATAGCCTTGCAGACCTTTTCACGCACCTCGGGCTTGAACGTCCGCACACTCAGCTGCAGATCTAGATAATCCGGAATGATATTCGACGAATGGCCCGAGTTGATGCTACCGCACGACACCACAGCCAGTTCACCAGGAACAACCTCCCGAGAAACAATAGTCTGCAAGCGCATCACAATCGAGGCGCCGATAACAATCGGGTCGATAGTCGTCTGCGGCGAAGAGCCGTGGCCGCCACGACCGAAAACACGCACATCGAAGGCATCCGCAGCGGTAAGGAAAGCGCCTTCGCGAATACTGACCGTCCCAGCTCGCATGCGCATAACATGCTGGGCAAGAACGAGATCCGGCTTTGGGATCTTATCGTATAGCCCGTCGTCTAGCATTGCCTGTGCACCGGTTAAATGCTCTTCTGCTGGCTGGAAGATACATATCAACGTGCCGCTCCAATGATCGCGCGCGGAATATAACAGCGATGAGGCTGCCATGAGAGTCGTAACATGTGAGTCGTGTCCGCATGCATGCATAACTGATGTGCTTACGCCATCCGGGCCCTTGACGACTCGGGTGCTTGCGTAGGGTAATCCGGTCTTTTCCTCCACTGGTAGGGCATCCATGTCGGCTCGGAGTAATAATTTTGGACCGTCTCCGTTCCTAAGAACGCCCGTTACCCCGTGACCCCCAATTCCCGTATGCACATCATATCCTAGAGACTTTAAATGCTCGGCTGCTAGTTTGGCTGTTTGCTCTTCTTGTCCCGATAATTCGGGTTGGCTGTGTAGATTCCGGTATATGTCCTCGAACGGCTTCAGGTCCGGTCGATATCGGTCCAGGAAGTCCTGTATACTGGACTTGCCATCGGTAAAGTCTTCAGTGGGGTATTAGTCGGAATACATCAACGGTGGCAAGGGGATATCCTCCTTACTCTTGTCCTGCATGGTAGAGTACTAATATGTAGGTACGCCGGCTATATTTAGATAGAGAAGGCCAAAGGGCGTTTTTCGATCGTACAGATGGTACATAGAATTCAATAGAAGTTGAATGGCCGAGGAGAAGTGGTGGGATTTCCAAACTTTTATTCGTGGAGACCCCGGGCGAGCCGAAAATAGTCGTACGCGGACCCGTCGTGCTATGCCCGCCGTTTAATTCATAAGCAATCTGCATAGTCTAGTCCGCGCCATGTGTCCAAGTTTCCGGCCCCTAATACCTAAATACCAATGCACAATCCGAAGGGTTTAAGGGGCCTTTGTGTTATGCTATCATTAGTCCCAAAACACATGATGGCCCCAATGCGATTTTGGTACAGAACTCTAATACATATTTGCGGTTCCACTTCCCCACTGACATTATGCGAGACATAACGTCAAATGCAGTTGGTGAGACGCTTATACCCGCGACGCACAAACTACTCCAGAGACGAAGGATGACGGATTATGCACAGGGCTTCGGAATTTTATCTTCAAATCCAGGGAAATTAACCCCAGACGTAACGACTCGCAGTATTTCATTGATCAGCTGAAAGCAGAACATTCTCAGTCCAGCTGTCTAGGATGACATACTAGTTCAAGTTAGTACCTAGTCATAACACCTGCAATGGAAATAATGGGAGAAGTCTAGGTACACATTCGTTGTAACCAACATAAAATATATCAGCCCCAGCCATTGTATAACATAGTTACCGGCCCAAATTCCTGGAAGTAATGTTTTAGAATTTGATACAGAGAGTCAAAATGCCAAATATTCTGCCCAGCTTCCATCACAGGTTGTGTAGTGTAATGGTTATCACTGCGGATTCTGATTCCGCCGATCCCGGTTCGATCCCGGGCACGACCTTCTGTTTTGCATTTTTTTCTAATTTCTATCCATAACTTGATTGGCCAGCTTGACTTGAATTTTTGTAGTTGTCAAAAGTATCAATCACCCTGGGGCGTCTTGTATGTTATCACAGCAGTTCTTTTTGTTTTTTTAATGGGCGGAAGCTAGTTGCCAGTCATGATGGCAATAATCTTTACTTTATTTCATCAAATGGTTGTGTAGTGTAATGGTTATCACTGCGGATTCTGATTCCGCCGATCCCGGTTCGATCCCGGGCACGACCTTTCCTTTTTATTTTTTTTTCATAATTTATGGTTCATGTGTTTTTTTCATGGACATGAACCAACCAACATTTGGAAAGCTAATTAGCTGTTGATCCATTACTTTTTATGCAACTAGCATAAGATTTGGACGCGGGAACAGTTCCGGCTCTGTATTCTTTTTAACTCAGTCCATCGGTAGCTGTCATATCTTTTGACATTCCATTGGAGGGTTGGTACATCTGCTTCTAGTTCTACTATAACCGCCTCAGCGGGGGATCCTCTAGTAACCTTGAAAGTAGAAGTACGAACCACGGACTTGGGTATGCCTAAAATGAACCTTGGAAACCGCACCTACCACTGACACGTGGCTACTAGCGTGAATCCAAGAAATCAAAGAACCTTGGAATGGCTACTAGAAGGCAAGTCCAAATTGTTAAATCCAACACCTAGTACTCTACTGTGACTCCTGATGTGCACCTGCTTTTAAATGTAAAAAATTGTATTGGAAAAAAATAAAACAATATTCTACCTTAATAAAACCCCCACAGAAATATAAGATAGAGAAGAAAAAGAAAAGAAAAGAAAGCGAGAGCATGCCGTGGCCAAAAGGCGAGGCGGGGGAATATGTACAGCCGGCAGAAGTATATAGTCAACCCATGGAAAACCAGCCATGGGACCACATCGCCGCTGAAAAAAAGTGGACTTGGGTATGAGGGAAAGAGAGACGCTGAACAGCCTGTATCACCAAAGAGACCCTAAAAAAAGAGATCCCGGACAATGAAAATGTGCGACGCGCGGGTTGCATGTCGGGGAGAGGACAGGGAAGAAGAAGTAGGGAAGATAAAAAAATAATCGGGAAAATCGGATCACATCAGATCAGATCGATCACATCACTTCTCATGCACTCCCACTCCCACTACCACCACTACCGCCAAATCGACTCCAGACCCAGCCGGTAATTCCTCCACGATGGTGCCCTTCGCTCCGACTGGAGCGTCTGGGCCGGGATGGCTCATTTGCGTCCTGCGCTGGCGAGTTGTTGCCAGACCGCGAGAATGAAGATCGGGCACTAGTACGAGAACTGCGCGAGAATGGCGAGCTGCGCCGCCGGCGCCGGCCGGGTGATTGTTGTTGTTGTTCGGGGCTATCCTGGACAACGACGGGGTTTTCGCTGGTGCCTTCGCGGGGGCTTTGTGAAACATGTCAGCTGAGATTCGGGCCTTGGCTTTCTTCTGGAGGTGGTTAAAGGGTGATTGTCATGCTACTTACCTGTTCGCAGCCGGATCAATACTCCGACGACAATTCGGACAGGTATTATGTCTGCTCAGCCACGCTTCGATACAATCGAAGTGGAACCAATGCTCGCAAGGCAACATCGTGACTTCGGTATCTAGTTCGACCGTATCCTTGCAAATAGCACACTCGGCCTTGCCGTCCGATCCCAACATCTCTTTATTGACTTTCCTCTTGGGCAGCGACTGTATAGCGGTGGTGGGTGCCGGCGGTGGGCCAGCACCTTGTGCGTCCTGTTGGCCCAGTTGGGCGATGACTTCTTCGAGCGCTTCGCGGGAATAAACGGCGTCACCAAATCGACCCGTCGGTCCCATCTCACCTATATTGCGCATCAATGCGTCCAGCATCATGGCTGGATCAGGTCCCACCGGCATTCTGGGGTTCGGTCTGCCGGTCCGCCGCCTGGGACTGGAATTATAGTGGAATGTGCCTAGAAGACTGGCTCGGGTGTTAGACCGGGAGGATTCATTGAGCACCGACATTTGGGATACATACTCGGCCAGGTTTTCGACTGGCGCCGACATGCGTTGCGCTCTATGCGAGTCGCGTGGGAATAGTCCTTCAAATTCGGCATGTTGATCTATGCCGCCGGTGGGGTCGGGGTCTGGTGAATATCGACGCGACGACTCTTCAGATCGTGGGCTTCTATTGCCATATTGCTCTGTGTGGTGATGGTGATCATTACCATGTGCGTCTGAAATGTCTCCCAGTATTGTCTGCAATGTTTGGAGCATGGGGATCATGGGGTTCGAGTAAGCGCTAGCGCCAGTGCCAGTGCCAGTGCCAGCACCGCCGACCTGGCGGGGTGGGAAGCTCCCCCGGACAGTAGAAGAACTGAAAGAGAAACGGCCATCAGGAGACCGGTAGGTATGATGGGAATAACCGGGGAACGCGAAATCCATGGGGTTGTATGCTGCGGAGCCCGGATGTGGAGGTGAGTCTTGGTCTGGATCTTGATCTCGACCCCAAGGGTTATGGTCTGTGAAAGAGTTTATAGGAGAGCGGGGAAAGGTGTCACGTTCACGTTCAGGGGGACCAGCACTCTCTTCTATCTATGAAGGAACCGCGGTTAGGGAAAATACGCACGACAGGGAACGAGGAGCTGCATACGATCTGTACGAAATCGGACCCGCAGCTGGGGCACGAGAGGCGGCTGTCGTAATGGTTTGAATTCCGAATCCAGTCTTCGCCACACGCATGGCAGATCAATAGTTCAGGATTTTCCATCACTGGGGGGAGTCCTTGGGGAAAGTGATATATGAGGCCGGGCAAAAAGCAAACAAAGAGGTAAAATTGCCGGGAAGTCACGAGGTTCATTGCTTATCGACGCGGGGCAAACGTGATGGGTTGGTGTTAGTCTCGTGGCAGGATACAAGGCAGAGAGGCAGAGAGGTACATTCAGAAAAGAGGGGGTCTTAGAGTGTGCAGGAGGCAGACGACAAAGAAGATCCACCTGGGTGCAGGAAAGAAAGTGTACGGGAGTACGTGGAAGTCACAAAAAAGAAAATATGACGTCGGGTTCGGTTGCCTTTGGATGAACCAACAAAGGTTGGGTGAACTTTAGAGGCAAAATCAAAGGCAAAGGCGAATATACGGAGTACACAGAAATGGAATTACGTTTCCCTGGTTTCTACATTGCTGTATATGCATCATAAAAATAGCAATGCAGATGGTCGCATCAGGCAGCGCCGTTTTCCCCCAGTGAAACCGTTTCGGAGGTTTGGTGATGCAAGTGGCAAGGAGAAAGACAGCAGAACTCTATGGTAGCAGAGTAGAGTAGGGCAGGAAACTACAAACAGGATGATCCTTTGAAAGCCGCCGTTAGGTAGCTGTTTCAACAGTTTCGGCTGTTCTAGATGGTCACGGTCCTCAGGTGATATACCCAGTAACTAGTATGTTCAAACTAACACCTATGTAGCGAGTGCGCAAAGAAGAGTAGAGACAAATAATCGTGAAAAAAGAAACGCCCGCAAAGATGCTAAAACAAAGGAGATCGCCTTCACATAGTACATACTACAGTTCCTTGTCTGGTTAACCGAAGTCCCACGACGCAAGGACTCCCCCATCCAACTGTGCCACAGCCCTTGCAGCCCTGCGCTGCACTGCTGCGCTACTTCGCCCAACGCAAATCCAAGTCCAATCCAATCCAATCTAATCCGAGCGCAGAAATCACCGTCTGCGAACGCCCTTGAAGACCAGACTGGCTACTGTACCCGCCGCGACAGCTAAGCCTCCCATGATAGCAATGCCCATCAGTCCTTCCCTCGTGACCTTTTCGTTGATGGCATCTTCCAGCTTCGACGCCTGGCGATTCTTCCACTTCCCTTGCTCATCCTTGCCTTCGTGTTCCAGGAGCGCATCGTTCAGTCGACGCGATTCGCCGTAGTTGCCGAGCTTGTAGTTGGCCAACGCCATGTACCAGAGGCATTCCCGTTGGCGCTCCGGGGCGGCTCTGAAGATCTCGGCTAGCAAGCGGAGACCTTCTTGTTGATCGGATCGTTGGTCTTCGCAGATCAAGCCCTTTTAGAAAGCGAAGCTCCGATCAGCACTGGTGTTGCGCGCGCATGAAGAAGAAGATGATGATGATGAAGAAGAGTTGATGGTTCGGCTTACCCATGCATAGTTGAATTTCGTTTGGACTCCAGCATACATGCCCTCCTTTTCATATTGCGACCGGAGGACCTGAAGCTCACCGGCTCGTAGGGGCCTGGTATAGGAAGAAGGCGGGTTAGTTTGAATGTTTCTTCGGAGGGGAAGCTCGGGGAAGCGACAAACCGGAAGGCCGCCTCGATTTCTAGCATCAAAAGGTCAATAAAGTGAACAGCGGAAGCGGATGAGTGCGGGCCACCTACCTGGACTTCTTCCCATATTTCAAGTTGAATGTAAGTTTGTAACAAATGGCAGAGTCGTGAGTATCGGGGAGAGTTAGGAAACAAAACAGGACCGAATGATGAAGCCGAGCTAGGCGGAACGAGAATCGAATCACAAGCCAACGTCACTTTCATGTGGCTGGTGCTATTGTGGCTAGTGTGTGTGTGGCTGTGGCTGGTTACGGCAGCAACAATCAAAACAGTCAAGGTCCAGTCCCTTGGAGACATTTTAAACCTCCCCCCCAATTTTGCCCACCATGTTACTCGACGAAGACCCCGGAACTGTATGTCTATATCTATCTTGATCTACTCTCATTCATTCCCATCCTAACCTGATTTCCCCTTTAGCTCATCCACCACACGATCGGCAACTTCAACATCCATCCAGATAAACAAGCCGTCACCCGCATCAATGACTCGCTTTCCACCCTACAGCAATCGCGCGATCTCCGCATTCGCGAAGCTGAATCCGCCTTGCGCAAATTATCCCGCAACCTATCCTCCCTAACAACCCAACATGAAGAAGCCGTCGCAGTCCACGACTCCAGCAAACACGCCGCGGAGATCGTCGAGCTAGACACGAAGAAATTCCGCATTGCCAAAGCTGCCTCCGAACTGGAGATCGAAAGCGAGCGGCTCGAGAGCGAGCTCGAAATGCTAAAGGAGAGACTGGCTGATCTGGAATCACAAGGTCTGGAGGGTGACGAGACGACCCGTCGCGAACGCGAAGCGGATGACGCCACAATGTAAGTGATCGTGCTCGCCCCCCTCTGCATTGCATGGAACTATAGGGTGCTAACTGGCTTGGCACAAGTCTGCGGTTGAAGATCTTTCGCTCCCTGGGTATCGATATTGAACCTGATGAGGCAGGGAATTTCAATCGGGCGGTCATTCGCAATAGTCGGAAAGGCGATGTTCATGTTGTCAATATCGACCCCAAGTTCTCCCGGTTCTTCTATTCGAACTACTTTTGGTCGACTATGCAGGGATAAACTTAATGATTTGACGTGCGGATTCTTTTCTTCTCGGGCGTTTTGGGAGGATGGGCAATTGCCCAATGGTTGGAGTTCGTTTTATACCCACAAGCTCCAATGTATTTATTGAACTTCCTTTTCCAATTTCCAATTTCCTTCTTCCTTTCTTTTTCTCTGTACGAGATATGCACACAAGTAAATAGTAGTACAGAATTGCTATAACGCAGATCAATGCTTCTGTAAAGCCCGAACGACCCTCGCCCGGTGCTCTTCAGCAACCATCTCATCAGCACCAACCTCGGGCCAACCATTGGGAAATATTCCCTCAACAACATCCAATAGCTCATCCTCCCCAATCTCGGACAATTCCAACCCCCAAGACCGAACCCACTCCCGCTCCCCCCTTGCAAGACCCGCCTCCACCTCCTCCAAATTCGGGACATCACATCCATCCCAAGTCAGCGCGACCTGCGAAGTGACAGATCCATCCAGCTGCGCACCATACCTATTCTCCACAGCAAGAGGGTCCAAGCCCAACAGCACCTCCGCCCTCGAGTTCCAAAGTGCCTGCTTAAGCACCCCATCCCGCTCAACCAAGAGCCAAAAAAGCGGGTAGGAGCTCCGCGCAAGAGTATCCCGCACCCCCTTGGTTGCCTCGCGCGGACTCACCAGCACACCCGCTGTCTCGCCCGTGCGCCATCCAACAGGCGCTTGTCGGAGAGCACCCTCCAGCTCGCGGACTAGGTTCGGACCCAGTTTTGTCTTGAGGGCTTTGCATTGCACCAGCACGCGGACTGCGCGTTCCCGCTCCCGTGTCGGCAGGTGCCAGGTGCCGAGGAGGTCGATGCCGGCGTCGTCGCGGCCGCCGATGCGGTGCAGGGATAGGGCATAGCGGCGGAGGGCGTTGAGGACGGTATATTCGTAGTGGGTTCCTACGTAGACTGTGCTTGTCTGCGGGAGCGCGGTGCGCGAGGCGTAGGTGAGGAAGGTTGGTAGGCTGTTGTGCTGGGTTGTTGGCGTGGGCGCTGTGGGGAGCTTGTAGAGTCGGCGGGTGAAGGGGGAGAAGTCATGTTTTGGCAGTGAATTGCAAAAGGTGCGCGTGGTTATCCGGGTTGTTTTTGACCATGGTGAGCTGGTAGCGAGACCATTTTGTGGTCGCAGATGGCGCATGAGGTAATGCGTGTGGAAGAAAGGAAGCTTCCCTTCTCTTCACCGCATTAGAAGAGAAGCTAAGCTTGTCCGAGTCTCCGCATTTCAACCGCATTTCTTATCTCCAACTTCACCTCACTCCAACTTCAATCTTCAATCTTCCTTTCCCTTCTACCTTAGCTCTCATTTAGCGCACCCTTCCAAGTCGCCCGTTATGGCGGACATCCTCACCCAACTACAAACATGTCTAGACCAGGTAGGAAATCACCGGTAGACTTTCTTTCATCTCCAGACTAACCCTCCAGCTCGCGACTCAATTCTACGCAACGCTGGGCTACCTAAGTACATACCACGACAATTCCCCCGCAATCCCACCAAACGTCCCCAACGCCGCACCCGCTCTCTCAAAGATGACCAAAAACACCACATCACCACCCATCCCGGCCTCAGTCGCCGGCGCCAGCGGCCCAGCAGCATCACCCCCACCCCCACCACCGCAACAACCCGGCGCCGGCGCAGGACTCCAAGACCCAGACCAACCGCCCGAGCCCGATTCCGCGCGCACATTCGCCAGTCGGCAGCGAGAATTGGCGCGCGATCTGATTATCAAGGAGCAGCAGATTGAGTACCTCATTTCGGTGCTACCGGGTATCGGGACCTCGGAGGCGGAGCAGGAGGCTAAGATTCGGGAGTTGGAGGTTCAGCTGCGAGATGTTGAGGGGAAGAGGGAGGCCAAGGCGTTGGAGTTGAGGAAGTTGAGGGGGAAGTTGGAGAATGTGCTTGGTGCAGTTGCGGTGGGGATTCATGGGGATGAGAAGGGTCGTCGTTAGTCAGATTGAGGACGAGGACTGGGGGCTTTTCTTTCTGTGGTGGTGGGTATTTTAAGGACTTTGATACCCGGTGTTTTGTTTATTATTTCTTATATTTTTCTTATTTCAGTTTGGATTTTCAGGCATAGTTCGGCGTTGGTGATTCGGATTTATGTGATGAGGACAATCATAGTTTATGGATTTGATACCACTCGCTATTTCCCCGAGGATTCGTAACTACTAGTACTCGTAGGCTCGATGACACTATGTATACGAGTACTCCAACATGACACTAAAAGGACTCGGAGCCAAGAATGGACTATACTAGTAGAAAGACGGACAAACTCTCAATTCATTCCAACTTGAAGATTGAAAATTGAACTTGAACCGATTATACTTTTCGTATCATTCCTTGCACTTACTAGTAGTAACCACTGATCAGAACGTGAACCCTACACCACGACGAAGAGAGCACAGTCACAATTTCACCCTCCCCCAACACTAGTAAGATATAACCGAAAACACGAATGCCCAAAAAGGCCCCTCCCCAAAAGATCAACGTGAGAAAGTTGTGCAACTTGAATCAAACCCGGCCCAAATCAATGAAACACATCATCAAGAACATGATCAACAGTATGAAGCGCATCATCCACAACAGCATCAACATGATGCGCAACATTACCCGCACGGTAGTTCTTGCACCAGAGCCGTTTATACCCGCTCACGCAGCCCTTTCCATAGGCGGCGCAGCAGTTGCCGCCGTCTCTCTTCTCCGCTGCGCAGAATGCTTCCAGGCTCGATCCTCGCGTCCAGTCAACTAGGGTTCGGCCTGCTGGGTCGAGGTAGCCGATATCGTGATCGACGCTGCCGCAGGATGGTGCGCTTCCTTCCCAATGGCAGTCTTTGCCGATGTCGAGGAAATCGCAGGCGAGGACGGTGGTGAGGAAGAGGGTTGTTGATAGGTAGAGCTTCATTTTCGGGGTGTGGAGATTTGGGTTTGAGTTGTGGGTGGTTATACAGTAGAATGGAGTTGAGGTTGAAGTTCAAGTATCGAGGTCTTGGAATGATATAGTATCTTTAGTACTACTAGTAGTAAGGACTCGGATCTGCTGCCCAGGTGTGCTATACCTTAGTCATGATATTCACCGGGAAAGTGGTTAGGTCTGCATTTATAGTATTTCCCAACAAGATCTATAGCCACTTCTCGCAGGGTTCTGGCTGGTTGATGCATGCCAGACATAATTCTGTCTCGGGCTGGCCGGAACATAATGGAGAGTCTTTACAGGAACACCTAAAATTAAGTCTGACATGGGACTTGGATTCCTCTAGTTGTAGATAGTACCTAGGGTCTACGCGGCCTGTCTCGGACTTGCGGACTCATCAATGCATGTCATCGAGGAATTTCCAATGTATCGGGACAATTAACGTCCAAAACGCGCACATGGAGTAGGGGCGAAACTGGTTCAGTAGTTACTACTAGTAGTACTGGAAATAACTCGTAAGCAATGGGCTAACTTGTTCCGAAAGCAAAAAGTTAACGTCACCAATTTACAATATGATAATGTACCTAGCGGAGCAGTCTAAAAGCGCTCATCATGGACGTCGTTGTACCAGTGATTGTCTTGGCTACCCGATTATTCAAGTTGAGTATGAGCCAATGGAAGAATCGATTGATGACTATAGCGACTAAATCTGCTCTCATGTAACACTAACTGGATATCCCTTTACAATGCTGTATGAAGATTGCATCAAATAAATAGCATTCTTTGTTGGCTGTAAACCGCAGAGCTCTATTGATAGAAACTTGAAGTTCGTGTATATGGCAAAGAAGGAGAAAAAACGAAAAGAAAAGCCACTCGCTGTGTAAAAATAGGTCGAACTTGAGATGAAAATGACATAAATAAAATCGCGGAGGAGAAATTCTGGCGCCTAGAAAGATAAAAAAAAATATCAAAATTAACGCATCAAATAATGACCTGCCTCTCCTGGGGGGTATCAAATAATTTAAGTAATCAAATCCCATGCCTGTCGCCGTTCGAGTCCACCCAGAAAAGACCATGAAACCTCAAGACGCACGCACGTATTCTCGAAAAGGCAAAAATCGCAGAGAATCAAAAGCGAAAATAAAAGATAAATGAACTAAAAGGGCAGAATGGGTAGGGGTGAAGGGGGGGAGGGGGCTACTTGAAGAGGCTGCGGTACTCCTTCATGCGCTCTTCTTGTATTTCCTTCTTGTCCAGCTTCCCACGATTCAAGGACATGTCTGCAAGCTGCTGCTTCTTCTTGGCTAGCTCGAGAATCTTCTCCTCGATACTGCCCTTCATGATGAACTGGACTGTCTTGACGGGGCGAGTCTGACCAAGTCGATGGACACGGTCCACGGCCTGTGCCACGGAAGCAGGGTTGTACTGGGGCTCCATGATGAAAACCTGGGACGCGGAGGTTAGGTTCAATCCGACACCACCCGCACCGATTGTAGCAAGGAGGATTGTGATGGAGTCATCCTTGGCAAACGCTTCCAGTGCCTTCCCACGTGCCTGTAGAGTCATCGTGCCGTCCAGTCTGGTAAACGTGTTCATGCCTTTATCGACCAAAGCGATCTCGATCAGGTCCAAATGGGAGGTCCAGGATGAGAATATGACGCTCTTGATTGGGGGCTCGTTATTCTCGGCCTTCAACCTTTCGCTTTCGATCATGGCTGACTGCAGATATTCAATCAGGGCAAGAGTTTTGGTGTGCGGTCCCTCGTACTCGCCAAACTGCTTGATGTGCTTCTTCGAATTGCGGTCCGACGCTTGCTTGGCCAAGAAGCTTTCAAGACCGGCGGGTGTGATTCGCGAGAAGTTGTTTGGTACCCAGCCATCGCAAATTTGGCATTTGACGGTCTCGGAAGCCGGTTCTTGCGCCCGGTACCACTTTGTGAAGCACTCCGGGCAAAATACGTCGAAGCAAGGCATCACAATAGCGATCGGGGCGTTTTGATCAACGTAACCATTGTCGGAATCTTGTTCGTCGGGAACCTTCAAAGTCCTGCGGCAAACGCGACATTCGGCGACTCCGGCTTGCAGCATGAGAGCAAACATATCGTACGACTTTCGGTCCGCGGCAGCAGCACTCTTGTCCGATCCACCTTCTTCCAGGTCGATTGCATCCTGCACACTCAAGCCCCTGGTTCTTTCTCTGTCTTCGACATCGAGAAGCTCTTTGCCGTGTGCACTGACTTGCCGCAGGATCATCATGGCTTTCAGAACATGATGGTAAACACGCCCGCCCATCGATGTCCTGCTCTCTCCCGCAATCACGCGCATCATGACGTTGGACTCTCTGCGGAAGAACTCATGCAGTTGGGTTTCCTTTTCGGAGAATTCAAGCATGATGATATCGTCGGTTCGGGGTGGGAGATTGATGCGATCCTTGACTCGGCGGATTGTGAAAGAATCGACCAAGACTCGAAGGCTAGCCAGAACGCGAGGATCGCCATTTTTGAACGGGCTTAAAATATAATGTCCAAAACGACCACGATCATCATAAGGGAACAATTTCAAGAACTTGGTAACCGACAAGAGGTCATCCAGTCGGTTCTGAATGGGGGTTCCGGTGACTGACCAGCGACGCTGTGAATTCAGGCCCAGGATTGCATGGGTTTGCTGAGCGTTTTGCTCTCGAATGGTGTGTGCTTCATCCAGAACAATTCGAAACATGTTCATCTTAGTCAAAGGGCTGCCCCGTTTTGCATTCTGATGTCCCTTTATCTCGCTGAGGACCGTGCTGTAGGTAGTGATAAGCAGATCGAACTTGGACAAATCATCCAAATCGGTGATGCGAGAGGCACCATGGAAGACGTAGTAGCTGATAGCATCCGGTTCGAGGTGCTCCTTGATCTGGGACACCCAATTGTTGACCGCACTCAATGGAACGACCAATAGAGTTGTCTTGGTATTCCTGATTCCGGGAGTACTGCGCACAAGACTGTCTTCGGGGCGCTCTTTTTGCCACGCCTTGGCTTGGTCCAGGGTGTATACCGCCAGAGAAAGGATGCTCAAGGTTTTCCCGAGTCCCATCATATCAGCAAGCAGACCGCCAAGAGACTGCGGCGGCTCCTGATCAGCGACTACGCCACTGATTATGTCCCGGTACTGCGTTTTACCATTGGGTAGTCGGTCAATCCGCCACAGAGAGTTGTTGTCTGCCTCTTCCGGACCAAATCTGCGAGGGTTTTCTTTGTCAACCATGTACCAGAGGGCCTGCTTTTGATGGTGCAGCAGGGCCGTCTTAATCTGTGGCGGGGCCTCCATGCTTGGAATATCCGCTGTGACGAGTTGATCGAACATCTTCATCACGGCATCATTGACTTCCTCCGCAGATCGGACCTCATATCTGATGCTCGTACCCGAGCGCTCACGTCCGGGGTTATTTGCTGCCGCCAAGGCCATTGCCTGTCGCTTTTCTGTATGAGGATTGTGAACCGGAACACCTCGTTCGACGGCGATGGGCTGGCCCAGCCAAATATTCTTTTGGCCGAGGAAATTACCAACAAGCTCGGCGCGCTGGCGCTCACCATATAGAGTGAACGAGGCCCGATAGGCCTTCTGCGTTTGCTCCCAGACAGCTTCATCTGGCGTTCTCTTACGCATGTCCAGACGTGCAGCAACATCTACTGTAAAGTGTTCTGGGTTCACATCCAAGAGAGGACAGAGAGCATTTGCAGTAGTTGAATCCACTAAGCCGAAGACTTTCCCAAATGGGTCAGAAACTTCAATGCGTATGGTTTTCTTGTTAAGATCTCGATGAAGCCCCATTTTCATAGACGGCCACTGGTAATTTTCATCGACGAAGCGGTTGGGGGTGGGCTTGGGGACCAGGAATGCATTTATACTGGCATTCTCGATTTTGCCATAGCAAACCCTTTGTGTGCTCACGTCGATTGATCCGGTAATTTGCAGGTCGTCGTCGTCTTTGGGAGTAGCCGCAGCATCTGCTGTCAAATCTACTACACCTTGGACCGAGGGTAGCTTCGCTGGGTCTGCCTCGCCTTCTTTCATCCACTGGCCCATGCCACTCTCTCCAGACCCGGTGATGGGCCTGGTATGACCTTTGACCTGCACCCCTTCTGTTTTCATCCGTTTTGTTGGTTGATGGGAACGTTTTTCCACATCGTAGATACGCTCTATCATCTTTCGGTGTCGCGGTTCGTCTTCACTATCACTGATCTCGTAGTGACTGCGCTTCGCATCACTGTCGTTGGGATCATCCTGCAAGGAAGTAAACTGGACAACCACGTCGGAGTCTGGGACTGATCGAGGGTCGTTGATCTGTCGAGGTGCCGGACTCGAGCCGGCTGATGTTGTTCTCGAAGAGGACTTGCGGGATTCTGTATCGAAAGCGCGCATCACGGGGACGGTTCCCGGAGGGGCAATGGAGGGGGCATGCGGTTGGGTGGGTTGGCCCTTGGCTGCACCTGGAAAAGGCGAGAAAGGTGAGCTGGAAGTTTCAGACGAATGCGCCATGATCTTTGCATTATAATGTAACGATCGAAAAAGATGAATATTGGCCGAGAAGAAGAAATGGAAGACCGGGGAAGATATTACCATTGCTTTGGAGGCGCTTTTTGTAGCCCTTTGGGTCCAGCAGCATCGCTGCTTGAGACGCCATGGTTCGGAAATGGTAAATGGGAAAATCCAAATCAGATCTTGAGATGACGCGCGTTGTTTCCACGAATATGGGGTTGCGAGGTTCGAGGTTCGAATTACGAGGCGCGGTGCAAGGTTGTGGAAGCCGGGTTGAGGCTCATGAAAAGGAAGGGCGTGGTTGACCTCGATGCCGAGTGAACGAGGGACGCAGTCCCCACACAGAAGTCGTGGGGACCTCGCGACATCTGCAAGGATAAAAAGAGGAGGGAGGAGAGCGGATGCAAAGTGAGGTGAAGAGAGTTGTGAAGGTGAGAGCGCGGCTCATGACCTCACTGGCGGAACTG